TCTCATCTTCAAGCTTCAGTTGCAATTTCGGTAAAACATGATGATGGGGGCCTACGCAACTAGAAAAACCGTCTCATCACAGATAAGGCAAGGTAATCCCAAAGAACAGTGCGCCGTGACAGGCGTGTGCAAACTCCAGATTGAGCCTCATAGTTGTGCAACTTGTTGTTCTCAGGAAGGGGCAGGAAAATATGAACACGGGCCGAAGTGTCAAATTGTCATATCTGAAAGTCAGAATGGGGGCAAATGAGCAGCATTGACGCTGGGGGACACAACAAAGCCAGGCAGGCTTTCGCCAGCAAGCTGCTCTGAGGCCGAGCTGTGCAAACATTCAGCTCAGTTTTCAAATGAAGCGATGGACGCACTGCGGCCACTACAACCCATCTGGCCATGGGTCAAAACCCCGTACCCCCAGTGAACATCCCAATCCCCACTAAAATAGAGTAACATGGGTGGTGCACCTGGCCCAAAGTGTTGACCCACAGCCCTCTGTTCTTCAAAACAAATCCGGGCCTAATGGCGGGCGCAGCCAGTGACAGCGCTTGGTGCGTGCTGCCATCGTCTAGAAGCGGAATGCCAAAGTTGGTCTTCGGCCTGACTTGCACTGCCACACTGGCACCAACTGTCTTCCATACATCGCAGCATCCGCCACATAGTATGGGTATGTCGAAATAGGGTTAAATAGGGGGACCCCCAAAATTTTGGCTTTCCTCTCTCAAAAACCGTGCACTTATATGGAGGAATTGGACCGCAGGTCTTAGTCTTTGTCGCCATTTACCAGGGCAACCCATTCTGGGGTTAATGTGGTTTGGACCCACACTCATATCTCTGCATCCGCCTGTCTTGCGACTTCTGCTGATGAGGACCCTGAGGTATGCCGCTCTTCTCAGCCTTATTGCTCGTGCAACACGCGGGGTTTCGGTTTCGCGCGCGGTTTCGCGCCAAGCGCCAAGCCTTGCTGCCACAAGGCGGCGTGTGACCGCTGAAGGTCAACAACACTTGGCTGCGGGTCAAAAATACTGTGGATGGACGAAATTATGCACCACCTAAGACACCCTGAAATGATGCTTCCCTTGTAAATACCAACAAACAGTGGTTTCCCATGGTTTCAAAGTGGTGCAGGATTTCGTCCATCCACAGTAGGTACCCAAAATGGGTTGCCCTGGTAAATGGAAACATGGAGCAACACCTTCGGTCCCTTGGTGGTTTAATTTTGATCCATACCCATTTGACGCTTGCCCAGTTTACCACAGTAGATGGGCAAGGCATAGTAAGCGCGTTGCCATCCCCCCCAACAAAATAACATGATGAAGGCCAGCCATTGCGAAAGTTTTGTCTAAAGGACGAATCCATAATTGCACAGACTCTTGTCCCAATCATGCATGTTCCAGTATATTCTCAGGCAAAAACAGCACCAAACGACAATGAGTAAGCAAATAATCAAGCAATTGAGTAAAGCCCGCATGCCTGTGCGCAGCCCTCCGAACTAAATCGATCCAGTAAAAAGCAAACCATGCTTGTTCATGAAACATTATCAAATCACAGAGATTGTGTTTGAAAATGGCTGAAGGCGCTGTAACCTTAAACGGTTGGTCGCTGACAGCTGAAGCAATTCAGGCCTTGAACCAAGGTGAAGAAAAATCATGGTGTCCTCCTGAAGCTACCGCAGCCAAAGAGTGCTTGATTCTAAGCCGACAGAAACGTCTGTAGCCTCACTTTCGGCCTTTCTACCCTTGGTTGCTTTCTGCTCCCCTGCTAAAAGTGACTCACTTTTAGTGGTTTAATTCGGAAAACCCATTAGTTGGAAAAAACAAGTTAAAGTCCTAACATCCATTGGCAAAGTACACCAAAGTACCCCTTCGTTGAAAGCAGTCCCTTTGGCTCAGGCAAGCACCCAAGCAACAGCTCTCCTCTCGCTCAGCTCAACGATCCTGGCTCCGTCGGGTCTGCCGGTCACTAGTGCCTGCAGTGAGTAAAAAAATGGGACTTTCCCCAAACAGAGTAACAATTCCACGCAACAGCTGGATTATGGCTTCATGTTTACCATACTGATCATCCAAAAGAAGGAGAGCAACCTGCGATGCTGAACTTGGCCGCCATGATTCTGTCAGCAAGTCCAGGAAAAGTGCTTGTGTTTCAGTTTTATTGACCACATGTCAAACTCGTGGTTTCCAGTCACCCTTTGCAATCCAATTTTGCCACCAGGCTCGGCGGTTCAGTGCCCAAATTGGATTCTCCGGTTGACTCCGACTCATCCGATCTCAGCTTCTCCTCGGATTCTCCTTGAGAAACTCGTCGACCCAGTCGAAGAGCCCGTGGTCCGGCAAGCCCAGGGGGAAAATCACCTGGTCGGGGTCTTCCAGTCCCAAAGCCGGGACTCAAGGCCGCCTGCCTTGAAGCGACGCGCTGTCGCCGCGTGCGTTGAAACGGAGCTGAAAGCAACTAAGAAGCTGATTCGGCATCTTCTAGCTCAATGAGCTCATGATGCGTTGCCTGTTAAAACAACCCTGATACACGGAAGTGTCTAGCTCTTTTAGCTGGCAGTTGCTTCTTCAAACTGCCCTTCTTCGGGCCGGGACGGTGCTGGAATTCCAGGAAAGGCCACGCTGAGTCATGGATCTTCTTGACGCGACATACTTGTCATGGTTGTGTAAAATGCCAAAGGGGTCCACGCGATTCTTTTTCTAACAAAGGCTAATGCAAGGAATTAGTGATGTTTCTTGTCTGAAAGGGTACAAGTACTGGCACCACATTGCTACGCGAGCTGCATAGCCCTGGCCCACGCAGAGGTCAATTATGCGGTTCCTAGGCTTGACCTACGTACAGAAAACACAAGTGAGCAACCTCAGCTAGTTTTCCTGGCCCATGAAACCAGTACACCTTTCCCTTTCCAGTCAGTGCATGGTTCCGCACATACCTCCCCAACAGAATTCATGCTTATGCCGCGTGGCAGCTCCTGCTCCTCAAGTTGCAGCTTTTGTATTTAGTGTAGCACACAAGTTGCTCTCTCATGCTCTCTCTCTCTCTCTCTCTCTCTGGCAATCTTAGCTGGGTAGCCTTTGCTTTCAGAAGTGTAGTACACAAAGTGGCATCGAAACAAGAAGCTTGGGTTCGAGCCGCATGGGGCAAAGGTGTTGGCAACGGGGGCATTAGCTGCACAAGTTTGGTGACCTGATGGAAAACCACGGATGGGTTTGCCTGGGTCAATGGCTTATAAAACCAATCTAAACCAGTCGAACCCATCTATTTCTAAGCAAACCAACCTAAAAGGAACCCCATGACTGCAAATCAAACAGCTTCCACAAAAAGATGCAAATACGTATATATATATATACAGTATATACATGCAACTCTCCCCTATGCAGACTGAACGGGCACCTGACACGAAAACAGTCGCAATTTGTAGGGTGGTCCACTTTGGTTCCTCCGCCCCCGTAGGGTCCATAGCGTCAAAGCGTCGCGTCGCTAACCGGATCTCGCAAGATTCGCCTCTGGCTTGCCATCGGGCGCGAGGTCCACATTCTCCATGTCGGCATCTGCAGCCTCCTGGCCAACTCTGCCCTCTAGTGCCTCTGCTTGAAACATGCTCCGGCTCTGAACAACTGCACAAAGAAAAGTTCGGGCTAGGATCCCTGATGAGGTGATGCTCTACCGGTCTGTACCAGTCTGCGCAATTAGTCCATGAATCAGGGGGTTGAACATGTAGACCAAGTATCATAAAAGCCTGGGAAACAGGTCCTGAGCACGATCTCGAAGTAAACTGGCGGTCTTCCAAAATATGGCAGCAAAAGCTCTCATATGTGCAAGCAAATAAACACACGCACACACACATATTGTCGATGGACCAGGCAAGAATACCGACACGGGCAACCTGGCTGGCCTGTAGCAACGTTGGCATCGCACCGTCTCTGTGATTCGCATCCAACAAGCCTTCCCGTTCAAATCCAACAAACAAACTCGTCTTGAAGGGACTTGCAGGCCGCAAGTCGATGCTTTTTCCAGCACCCGGCCAGGCACCCGGAAAAAGTACCCCGCCTGCAGCATGGTGCATTTGCACTCGATGCTGCACTGTGGCGAGGGACCTCAATCGCCAAGATGCGCCAAACAGATGCTGAAAGGGCGGGTTGCGGGGGCTGTGCCAAGCACATGCTGCAACACATAAGATAAATCTGCTGGCTCGAATCCGTCCTTGTGTATGGCCAAACAGGTGTATGATCCGCTTCTTAGATTATTCTTGGATGCCTGTGGGAAAGTCACTCACTCAACCATGGGAATGTATCAATTGGGAACTTTAAACCATATCTGCTCAAGTGATCTCAAGTGCTTTGATGACAAAGGATGAAGCTCGTGGGTGGCCTTGCAGGATCATTATGCTGCTCCCATGAGTCAGAATCAACCAACCAGTATTTAACAGGAACTTCACCTTTGACACAAGTAGGGTCAAAGGCAGAGCCATCCCGCCAATCTGCCAAGCACGACAAGTGCTTCAATGCCGAGCTGACGTAGAACACGTGCTGAATAGCCAAAAGCTTGTGTATTGCTCTCATCTGCCGTTTCCTTCTTCAAAGCTCCACCGAAAAGTGCTCTCACTACCGTAAGCTTTACGTGTTTGTTCTGCACAGAACGTTTCCAGTTGCGCATGTTTCCAAACAATTTCCCCGTCGAGCAAAAACTTTGCACAAGTCTTCTGGCCTTTTCGCGCTGGGCTGTTCAAAATGCAGGGTTGGCCAATCCTAATCAATGATCCCTATAGGGAAGCCACTACAAAGGAACCCCTTGCGTAACCCAAGGTAAGGATTGAGGATTACCTCTGAGCAGCCCAGGTAATTCGAAGGCATAGGACTGCTTTAGACGCTGGGTGCGCGGGCCGAAGTTCACGTCCAGGGTCATGTTCTTGAACGTGACCGTGGGAAACAATGTCTGGCGTCGCGCGGCGGAACGCCAAAAACCAGCACGCCCCTCGTGCCGAACACGTGGCCAGCAGGCTGCAACTGTCTCCAAAGCAAGACAGTGTAGATGTATCGTGAAAGCCGGGTGCTCACCATCGGCTAGCTTCTGTTTGCTTTTGCGCCACAACCTTGCACGGTATTTATGGAATGAAACGCCACATTATGGCTTGATCTGAGCACATTGCATGAGGGCACACTGACGCAAAAACAAATTTCCAAAAGGCCAAGCTTTCGACTCACATATACACTTGTGGTGACCTCGGCATCTGCCGCACGAATATCTGCGTGAAGGTTAAATGAACAGCTCACAATGGACAAACTGGGCTGGTACCTAAAATTCTAATGCACGCTCATTGATCATTCAGGAAATTGATATTCCGCTACCTGTGTGCTTGTGCCTGCCCAATGAACCGCAGCAGCTGGGACATAGAATCCTGAATACAGGAACCTTTGTTCAGAAGATTGGGACCAGCCATTATGACGTCAAACTAGTGAACAGGGTCTCTCCGGCTTGGAGCGAACAAGAGCACCCAGTCCAAAGCAATGCCGGCTTAGTGAAATGGCGATCTTCCATTCCATTGCTCAATGTCTAATGAACACAACCGTGACTAAGGCTAGAACATAGGGTCATAGGTAGAACATGTACACCAAGTTGGACACGCTGCGGTGTCAAGCCGGAACATTGATGTTCAGCCCCGTTCTCCCTTCAGAACAAATGACCTCGCCCTGACACAAAGACACCCTGCGCTACACACCGCACATGGGGTGAACTTCTGAAGGGGGTGTGCCAAGCCCTGGGCTACACACGGCACATGGGCCGAACCCTGGGCCAAACCCACCGCACATGGGGTGAAGTCATCAACGGGGTGTGTGCCAAGCATCAAATTTGCGTCAAGGGCAAACCGCGTCCATCGCCTCGCCTTGCCATGCAAAGACTCGGGGAGCTTCTGGGGCTCGCATGCACCTCGATTCGCGGGGCGCCACGCGCAGCGCGATGCTCATTGACCTGCTGAAGTTCCGCTGAAACGCCTCGGGGGGGGGGGGTTCTTCAAAAGTAGGGTTTTCACAACACCTGCGCAGGCACGGGGGAAAACGACCAGGCATGCTCAGGGGGGCTGAATTTGACCGGGCGTTCGTCTCTTTGAGATTCTTCCTGGGCTTCTCCCTGAGCTTCTCGCAACAAGTATGCAACACACAAACACCTTGGCAAGGGACCATGCGCACCGATTTGGTTCAACTTTTGAGAGCGAGAGGTGGTGCTAAAAACATATCGCAACATCTAAAACATTTCTCATCCAATCCCATGTCCGGCAGTTTGCTTTTTTTTTCGCCAAAGTGAAAACAAATCTGTCACTTGGATCGACAGTTTGGGGTAGTTTTATGTTTTTGTTTTTTTTCCCATGGACTCAGACTGACTCAGGCTTGGTTTTTGGGCTGGGTTTCAGGTTAAGACAGGCTTCTTTTGGGTCAATGCAGGGTGAACTTGGGGTTGCACTGGAAATGGTACAAGTTGTGGTTGCTTTTGGAGGAGGTTAGGTTGGATAAGGTAGGGTTGGTTCAGTTTGGGTCAAATTTGTGGTCCAGGTTTGGGGCTCACTAACCGCCAAAGGCTGTTTGCCATGTGCTTGGCAAACTTGGCATGGCGGCAAAATGCGAAGCACAAATTCAAATAAAGCAGCCAACAACGAGAGCAAACTTATCCGCCAAAAACCAGCAATCTCATCCGGAAACGGAGCCAATGAACATCTGCTTGATGTCGGCAAACAGGAGAGACTGATTTATTCGCAGAAACTGTGCGCGCTCCATGTCTTTGTAGTACTAGGCTTGAGAATGATTTGATCGGACTAATTTACTGCTTTGCATTGGGGCAAAGGGTTTCGGACGGACATTCTCCGGACAAACTGATTGGAAGAGACTTGCTGCTCCACATCAACCATCCTAAGTGAACCAAGCCGAGAGTGTAGCTGATTTGAGGGGTATCTGAACTCAAGGAAAGATAATCATAAGCGGAACTTGATCTGAAACACCTTCAGGGTTTTTGGTGGATTCACCCGCAAGCTTCCTTCCTCAGCCCGTCACGCTCTCCGCGCCGAAAAATGCTCAGCGTGTTGGCCTCAGCGTATTTGGAGAAATTCAGCGTTCGTGATTGGACGAGTGCCCAACTAGTGACCACATGTGCATGTTGATGGATGTCGCGAAATGAAGGCAATGAAGCTCTAAACATGCCGTCTCAGCATCTGTGAATGATGCTCTACGATGTTCTTCCTTGATCCAATGTGTCACATGGAGACCTCCTCAAAGAGTAGCATCCCATCGGCTGGTGCCAAAATAACAGGCAGGAGGTTGCTTCCGAGGCTCCTCAGGACTGTCCTCGTCCAGGTTCAGCACCAGTGCCACAACCTGCGCGGATTGCGGGGAAATCCGCACTTTGATGAGGCTCGTCCAGTGGTTCCTTCAAATTCTCGGGAGAGCAAGTGGCAACTTTGAGAGCAACCCTTCCCTGCAACCTGTTGCAAGCTCTCGGAGTGTGAACTTGCGGGGTCGCTACCCATGGCTCGCCGCGGCGAATCAGCAAGTTGCCTCGTCTCTGCCAAGTTTTCGAGAGAGCACCTTGGAAAAACGCAAGTGAGCCAGGCCTATGTTGCCCTTATGGAAAGCAGCTACAGGCAATTATACCGGAAATTTGCCAAATACCACCAAGAACAAGGATTTCCTGTAGAATTTCCTGTAGCTGGTGTCTTTGACCTATGCCAAGTGTCACTCTCGCTGGCAAGTTGAGAATTACCTGCTGCCTCAGCCGTGATGGGATGACCTCTCAGGGAACATCCTGGGACGTGTGCTTCAAATCAGGCACCAAAAGGCACACACTCCTCGAAGTTGTTCCTCCATCCCTTGCGGGAGAGCCTGATTTTGATCCTTGAACAACGGGTCCTGTTGTTTGTCAGGGGTCTACAGTACTCAAGCAGAATCTCGCCAAACATTGGCGAGAGTTTGCAATTGGCTCAGCATGTTGAACAAGAACCAATAATGCAAAGGCATGCTGTGGATGGGTTTCCAGCCAAAGCGGCAGATGACCACAGCAGCTAAGCACCGAGCTTGGCTTTTGGTGCCCGGAAAGGACAACTCCCCGAGGCTGTCAAGAAAGACCTGCAAACAGTCGCGGACATGATTCGATTTGAACTAGTCACGTAAGGATCACGCTTCCCCTTGGCATTTGTAAAAACTACGGACGCTTCCGCATAGGTGACACAATGGCAACCGAACTGAAAAGAGCCCCTGGTCGACAAGAAAATAGCTTCAGCATTCTGAAGACTTCTGATTTGGGTTACGGTCATGGCTCCCTTAAAATAAACCCTCAATACGTGTCTGAGTTACCTATCGAACCACTCATATTCAACGGAAATACGGCAAGCGCGAATAAACATGAACAACGGTGTTCACAACAAAATCGAAGCAGGTTATGGAGGATCATCTGGTTGCAGCGCTCCATGCTTTGAAGCGTGCACACACACACACACACACATGCGCCTTTACAGCACAAGTGTAGCAATGTATGCCAAGCACACTTGGCGGTTCCATCTCGAAAAGCACAACTGTTCGGTACAAGTGTCGCAAATTTGGCAGCTCCAGCTTGAAATCGCAACTTCTCACTACAAGTGAGTATGCGAAGCGCTCTGTGAGCTCCAGCTGGGAATTTCGCAACTTTGCATTGCAGCGAATACGCGAAGTGCCCTTTGGCGGTTCCAGGCTCCAGAAATCACACTTCATCAGCGCAACTATGCAAAGCATGCGTTGGCACTTCGCGAAGCCGTGACAATCGTTACGGACTCGTTTTGGACCCGTTCCGGACTCGGTTTGGTTTGCAACTTTTGGCTCCAAGAAAAGCTGGATGCACGCACAGGGACGAAGACATCTCATTTCATCATCTCGCTTCGCAAGTCTTCGTTCTCATGCCGTTCATTTGGCGGGGGGGCCATGTCGGTTCACAGCGAAATCTCAACTTGGGGTATTCCAAGCGTACTAATACAGTTCAACTGTCGGTAAACTCAAGCATACCAGGAGCCTCAAAAACCGATGAAAATGTCATACCTACAAAAAACACAATGTTTTCAGAAAATCGAGAAAAAAACACGATGTTTTAGTCAGGGTACGACATTTTTACAGGTTCTTGAAGCCCTAGGTATAGATGACGGTTCGCTTGCACGGGCTTCCATCTGCGGTTTTGTGGCTGGAAACATCGCCCATCATGATAGCCGAATGGTGATGATCCAGTCATATGGGTATGGGTCAAGATTAAATCACCAGAGGACCGCTGGTTTTAGGCTTTGTTTTCATTTACCAGGGTTCCATTTTGGATACCTATTTTTGGCCAACACCCATATAGTTCATGCTTTCCGGAAAAAGCAAAGTCTCCTCTCGAAGCATGATACCCTTTTGCCTTTCCTTGTGTTGGCTTTTTGTCAGGACACCTTTTTGAGTGGTTCTTAAAGGGAAACCAAAAGGAAACCAACCATTTGATGGGGTCCCCTATTTTGAGACAAGCCCATGCACCAGTACCAACTTCTTGGTGCTAGCGCTATGCAATCACAGGGGGCATGTAAAACACACGTCTGTCCGCATGCTGTCGGCGACTAACCCGCAACGCTTTCTGAAACAAACACATCCCAAGAGGTCGCTGCCATAGATCAAACTGGACTGTTCAGGGTTGGCCAATCCTAGTTCACGACCCCTCGTGGCAAACCACTAAAGAGATCCCCTTCATTACGGGGAAGGACTTGGGATTGCCTTTCGCCCAATAGAAAGATCTGGGGGTTGATTCCTTTTCCATTCTTTTCAACCATCGTTCTTTTCAAACAAAAAAGAGAGCCGTTTTCCCTAAGTTTCCGGAGGTTTTCTAGAAAGAAGGATCGCTGGAAAGAATGGACATGTACGGTACCCCTGGAAAAGAGTGAGCCCCCAGGCCTGATCCTTGGCGGAGTTGTCCATCAACACGCCAGCCTTGCCACTTGCCAAGCTTGCGCATGAGCATTTCCCAGCTGCCCGAAAAGCCCTTCCCCGGAGTCATCCATCCCAATGCCGGCTCACCAAATGAGTCCTACAAAATTCGCCTCGGCCCCAAAGGGGCCAAGGGCGCTCAGATCTCTTCTCCAAAGAGAATCTTCGCTTTTCCCCCCTCCCCAACCAAAATTTTGCCGGCCCGCCCCCCCCCCCGTGCAGTGGACACTCCTGCGCCATTTTACGGTTACCGTTCCCGTGTAAAGAGCGAAGCCGCGACTACGGCGGGCCCTGCGGGCGCGGCGGGCGCGGCGGGCGCGACGGGCGCGGCGGGGCGCGGCGGGCGCGGCGGGCGCGGCGGGCGCGCGGGCGCAAGCGAGCGCGGCGGGCGGCGCGGGCGCGGGCGCGGTGGGTGCGGCGGACGCGGGCGCGGGAGCGATGTGCGCGGCGGGCGTGGGCGCGGGCCCTGTGGGTGCGGCAGGCGGCGGGCGCGGCGGCGCGGCGAGCGCGGCGGGCCCGGCCGCGCGGCGCGGGCGCGGCGGGGCGCGGCGCGGGCGCGGGCGGGCGGGCGCGGCGGGCGCGGTGGGCGCGGCGCGGCGGGCGCGGCGGGCGCGGCGGGCGCGGCGGGCGCGGCGGGCGCGGCGGGCGTGGCGGGCGCGGTGGGCGCGGCGGGCGCGGCGGGCGGCGCGCGGGCGGGCGGGCGCGGGCGCGGCGGCGGCGGTGGCGCGGCGCGGCGCGGGCGGCGGCGCGCGCGCGGGGCGGCAGGCGCGGTGCGGCGGGCGAGCGCGGCGCGGGCGCGGCGGCGCGGCGGCGCGGCGAGCGCGGCGGGCGGGGCGGCGGGCGGGCGCGGCGGGCGCGGCGGCGAGCGCGGCGGGCGGCGGGCCCGGGCGCGGCGGGCGGTGAGCGCGGCGGCGCGGCGGGCGCGGCGGGCGCGGCGGGCGCGGCGGGCGCGGCGGGCGCGGCGGGCGCGGCGGCGCGGCGAGCGGCGGCGGCGCGCGCGGCGCGGCGGCGCGGCGGGCGCGGCGGGCGCGGGCGCGGGGCGCGGCGGCGGGTGCGGCGAGCGCTGCGGGCGCGGGGGCGCGGGCGCGGGCGCGCGGCGCGGGCGCGGGCGATGTGCGCGGCGGGCGGGCGCGGGGCCGCAGGCGCGGGCGCGGCGCCGGGCGCGGCGAACGCGGCGAGCGCGGATGCGGCGGGCGCGGCGGCGGGGGGGCGGGCGGCGGGGATGCGGCGGGCGGCGGCGCGGCGGCGCGGCGGGCGGGCGCGGCGGCGGCGCAGCGGGCGGCGGGCGCGGGCGGGCACGGGGGCACGGCGGGCACGGCGGGCGCGGCGGGCGCGGCGGGCGCGGGCCCGGGCGCGGCGGGCGTGGCGGGCGCGGCGGGCGTGGCGCAGCCGGGGGGCGGAAGTTTCCAAAATATATAAACTATAGTTGTCCTTCTCTTTCTTTTCTCGATGTTTCTCTTCTTTCTTTCCTTTTTTATTTTCATTGTTTCTTTTCTGTCCATCGTTATTGCTTTCTTTGTTATTTGATGTTCTTTCTTTCTTTCTTCCTTCCTTCCTTCCTTTCTTTCTTTTTTTCTTTCTTTCTGTCTGTCTTTCTTTCTTTATTTCTTTCTTTCTTTCTTTCTTTCTTTCCTGCTTCCTTCCTTTCCTGCCCTTCCTTCTTTATTTAGTTCTTTCCGTTCTTTCTGTTATTTCTTTCTTATTGTTTCGATCTATCTCTCTAACTATCTACCTATCTGTCTATCTATCTACCTACCTATCTAACTATATATCTACCTATATTTCTAGCTCCCTCTCTCTCTCTCAATCTATCTATCACTCCATCCATCTATATATCGGTATCTCTCTCTCTATCTATCTATCTATCTATCTATCTATCTATCTTTCTTTCTACTTACCTACCTACCTACCTAACTATCTCTCTCTCTCTCTATCTATCTCTCTCTCTCTCTCTCTCTCTCCCTCTCTGTCTCTCTATCTGTCTATCTACCTACCTACCTGCCTACCTGCCTATCTCTCTATCTACATATCTAGCTTTCTACTTACCTATCTCTCTCTCTATCGATCTATATCTCTATTTATCTATCTGTCCATCTGTTTATCTATCCGGCGGGCCTTGAAATTTTCGGGGTTTGTCGGCGTCCAGCTCCATGGGTCCATTTTTGTCGAAAATGTGCTGACAATTGCAAAAATCCTGGCCAGCCTGTCTGACGTGTCTGAGACTAGGCCAGGCCCAGCCCAACCAGCAACCCGCCTGTCAGCCCAGCCTCAGGCCCAAGCTTGTCTGAACCAGGCCTAGCCAGCCCGCCCAGCGTGCCAAGGTCAGGTTTGTCTAACGTGTCCGAGACTAGCCTCAGCCCGCCTGCTGGCGTGTCTTACGTGTCTGCGACTGGCCTCAGGCCCAGCCCAGCCAGCAACTCGCCACCCAGCCTCAGGCCCAAGTGCTCAGGCGCAACCAGCAGCGTTGTTCGGCTGCCCAGCAACCCACCCATAGGCCTCAGGCCAACGACCAGTCTCACGTGTCTGAGACTGGTCTCAAGCTACGCCAGCTACTACGCCTGTCTGACGTGCCCCAGCCCCCCAGTCCGGCCGCCCAAGCAGCTCAGCCCAGGCTGGCCAGGCCTTGACCTCCTGCTCAGGCGCAACCAACAGCGTAGTCCGGCTGCCCAGCAGCCAGCAACTGAGACTGGCCTCAGGTCCAGCCCAACCAGCAACCCGCCTAAGCAAACCTTACTCAAGCCCACCCTGTTTCAGACTCGCAGGCCTCAGCCTATCTAGCGCCGAGACTGGCCTGGGCTCAACTAGCGTCTAGCCCGCCCAGTCCGCCTGCTGGCCAGGCCTGTCTGACGTGTCTGAAACTGGCCTCGAGCCGACGCCGGACATCACGAAGGAGATGGGGATCGAAACCTTTGGCCTCATAGAGGCGCTTGAGAGCATTAAGTCCTTGCTGTTGCTGAGCCGCAGGTTGTGCACCACGTATGATGAGCCAGGAGCGAGAAGACCAAGAAGAATAAGTAAACATCTGATCATTGGCACCCCGAATTCCTTTGATTTGAGAAGGATGATCAGGTAGCTGTGGTGTAATGGTTCTGGAAGAAGAATCACATCGGTAACCCAGTACTTTGTCATGGCCCAGCCCAGCCATAGCCCAGCCCCCTCAGTGCGGCTGCCTAGCCCGCCGTAAACTAGCTTCAGGCCCAGCTCAACCAACAACCCACGCAAGCAAGGACCAGCCAAGCTGCCCGAGACTGTCCGAGCAGGACGGCTTCCGAACATCGAACTAGCACGGGCGAACTGGTGCGGTCACAAGCTTTCAGTAGGATTCGGACCTTCCCAACACTGGATTTCGGTGTTCCTGATCCTTCCCTCAAACTAGGCTGGGCCGAGGCGGGCAACGCGAAGCGTTTACAATAAGCCACCAAACGAATCCTACAAAAAATATATTTCAGGGCAACAAAAAACAGCATTCTACACATCCTACAAAATATTTCAGGGCAACACAAATCAGCATCCCACAAAATACAAGGGCAAAAAACATACGTATCCTACACAATGTGTCAGGGCAACACGCAAACCACGCGCCACCAGAATCCCCCAAGAGCCCCTCCAAATCTCACCACACGCCGCGTTTCCTCCGCGGACTCTTCGTGCCTCTGAGGTGGTGAAGCCGACTCTCAGGAGCTGCCGCCTGAGGAAAAACCGACGCCCGGAGCCTTGACCACTGCTTTGAGCCCTGTCCGTTTTGCTTCCCTTTGCAAGAAGCTGAATTAAGGGATCATTCGGGGATCCCCAAGTCTCAGGATCTTTATCATGCGCTATCCTGGATTCCATCAGCAACCTCACCCAGTAGCCATGGGGAAATTCGCTTTGCTTCTGTTGGACCAAAACAAGCTGAAGTAAGGGATCCCGGGTCAAAGGGATCTTTCTCCTGAGCGGATTTTTACCCCCAAATCCGTGAGCTCGCTCGAACATCGTCAGCGAAGTGGACATGACACGAGAAACTTCGCATTCATCTTGCAGTCCCTCCGATTCGAGGCCGCAGCGATGCCGGCGCCCCCCGCGGTGCTGTGCCTGGCATGGATCACAGGCGAAAGGTGTTTGGGCTTCCCTATTGTTCTTTTTTTTGTGTGTGTGTGCGGGTTTCAATGTGGATTTCTATGGGTTTCATGATCGTCCGTCGCTTGCGGACTCTCTGTGGGTTCCCACGAACTTGGGCTTTTCTTTTTCTATAGGCTTGCCTTTCGTCTTCCCCGAAACTCTACCACTCTGAAAGTCAAGCATTAGGGATTGATGCAAACTGGCGCCACGCCTTTCCCATGCGAAAGTGGTCATCAGTTCAAATTGAACCTCGAAAGCGAATAAAGCTCCTCATTGGAGTCCTTGCTACTCGTGTGGCTCGGCCAGGCAAGTTCAACAAGTGGATTTTGTGGCCGAAACTCTGCATGATCGGAGGCTAGCGGAGAAAGCCACAAGCAACGTGCAGAAACCAACCGCTTTTCCTGGTGCCAAAGGAGGCGAATAGACTCAGACCTTCTGACCGGCCGCGCCTTCTACTGGGTCGAGGAGCTCAAGGATGGTGATCTCAAACATGTAGCATCCGCCCTGCCGGGACAAGGGCAAACACCGGAGAGCCACCTTTACACACGTAGAGTGACATTTACACACGCGCAAGGGGGGGGGGGATATAGGCTATGTCCATGGTGTGTGCGTGTGTGTTTGCTTGGAGACGTCGTGTCAATGAAACAAATTAAAACACATGTGTCAGCTTGCGGGTGCTCAGTGGGGAATGTGGGAATGAACCTGGGGATTCCGTTAAAGGAAACCATAGGGGATGGTTTAGCGGAGCATTCCCTCATTCCCTGCTGACCACCAGCAAGTCATTGAAATGGCCAAAACTATGCTCACATCATGGTCGCCGCCTGATTCAGCAAAACCCAAGCAATAGGCTTGATTGTGGCTTACGTAAATCACATGATACACACGTACAACGTCTACCCCTTTGATGTCATTCAGTCAACAAAATGGTTTGAGGCCCTCAAAGGCAACACGGCTAGGACAATGGCAACCCATGACTAGTGGAGGCATCTACAAATCAACACCTCGCTCAGCACAACCAACCCGGCAACGGAATCGCGGGAGCTGCCTTGATACCCACCGCAGCTTTGACACCTGGGCGGTTGCACCAGGGTTCTCATCTCTGATCAACAGTCGATTTGGGGCAGCATATCAACAGGCCCGTTACGGCCCGTTCCAGGTGACTTCATTAGCAGATCTAGCTCCGGCAAGCACTGTCTGTTTTGGGCGCTCTTGGTGCGTTGCAAGTCTCATTTGCCCAAATTTGGCTTGGCTTAAGCTGCAAGCACACTTGGCTTCCTCTTGATGTTCTTCCAACTCTGAAAACGGTCTGCCTGCATGCCTCATCACCGCACCTTTGAGCGTCCAAAAGCCTCACGCTATTTGTCCCATACCGCGGCATGTCGACCCACGCGAGCCTCCGAAAAGGTACTGCAACCCGCCGTCACCGAGGGCTGTGAGTATCCTGCAAATCCGATGCTGCTGGCTGCTGCGAATCAGCAGGCCGCTTCATGTTGTAAGCCAAAGAAGGTGAAGAGTGATGTTGACCCCATAGTAATCAACCCTAGTTTATTCAATTCGGGGCGTGTGCCCGGGTGAAATGTGGGGAATCAGACCACTTTGGCAGGAGAATACACCCCTATGAATACACTGGGGTTGATTGATTTGGGGTCGACAGCAGTTTGCAGGCCTGATACATTCGGTTCTCGCAAGTTAGCCTACATCCTAAGCTCTCATAAAATCGACACACTGAATGAAGGATGCTCCTTCAAGGAGCGCTAGACAGGCTTCGCAGCTTGTGGAATACTGAGTGCAACGTTGCAGACTGGCTTGGGTTTTCTGCAAACGCATTAATCCCCTCCCCCTGTTGCCCCCGCATTAACAAGAGATACTCTTTGGAAAAGATAAAGGGTCGCAAGGGGGTGTCAGAGGCTTTCGTACCAAATCGGATCCGCCCTTTGTCGGGCGCAAAAACTTTCCTTTTTTTGCCGAGTAAGGAGTTTTAATGAAATTGCTCAAGGCACTGCTTGCTTTTGAATCTAAAGGCGAAACTAACATTACAATTTACATTTGAGTTTACGATAACAAGCAGCGAATTCTGAAAGTACCCCCAAGAGGGGCTGTCAGAAGTATGGTATTGGTTTAGTGTCGGGTCAATGAAAAGTGAAGGGGGCGATGTGACGCCCTTCTGTTTTTTTCAAATTTGGCCGGACAAACATGATTGACGGGGGTGGGTTTTCTAATAGGGGGAGCGGATTACGACTTCATCAGCACTTGCAGCACCCAACATAGCGGAGAAGACGGAAACAGTGTTTGTGAGTGCAAACTCCGTTGCGGTCTTGCTAAAGAGCTGGATATGCTAGCGTCTCGTTCTCATTTATTTCTTTTTACTTGCCGCTCTGTTCTCTCGTGAAGAGGGAGAGACAACGGTAAACGTCTACGTTGGCAAGTCGGTCAAGACCGCCAGCGGCTTCTCGTGCAAGGCGGAGCCGCTCAAGCTCAAGTTCAAGAACCCGCGCAGTGAGTGTTGGCTCATCAAGGCGAATACACATTCATGAACATGATTAGACTTAGGCCCAGCTATAGAATGTATAGTCTATTGTTTGCTTCCCTTTGAGTCGCTGGTAAAATGTCAAAATGTATCCAGAGTCTACCCCAGTGAAATTCACAAACGCCGGGCAACACTGCACATGTTTACGGCACGAGCTACATTGTCTGCTCACCGAAGCCTTCCAAACCTCCAGTTGCTGAAGCCGCCTGGAAAACATAAGCATATAGCCATGGGTCAAAATCCCGTTCCCCCAGTGAACATCCCAATTCCCACTAAGATAGGCTCTGAAATGGGTGGTGCACCTACCCCAAAATGGGATCCCATTGGCTTTGACCCACTGCCATATTTCCACCAGTGATAATCAATCTGGTAGATCTCCTTTAAAACCAACCAGCAAAAACTACGCAAAGCCTCAAGCAAATGAAAGCAACAAACTGTCTGCACTTCGCTGCGGGAACTGCTCCTTCCATCTGCAACTGGCAGGACATTTGGCGTAGCGCACGCCAAATCCCAGGCCACCTTGAGGGCACCCGGTTGCATCACATGTTGACCCTGGATTTTCATCAACCCTTGTGGCTTCCTTTTAAGGAATCCCTGGGTTCACTCCCTCATTCCCTACCTATCGCACCAATCCCTGGGTTCATTCCAACTTAATAGGAATCAACCCCCGCTCATTAACAGAGCCACTAAAACCAGAATCGGACAGCGGACACCCCCCCTTTGAATAAAAAGGGGTTGATTAATATGGGGTCAACATTAACATGTTACTTGCTTCCTCAAAAGGGCATGGGAGAATGGGATAGACTCCTTGGATTTGTGTGGTCACATTGGGTCCCCCCCTCCCATGCCAAGACCAACAGTAGATCGGTCATGCTGTCGGGTACTCATGCATGGCGAATACTCCAACCAAAGATTCGGGCACGGTAGGAAACTGTTCTGCTCTGAAATCCCGACTGACTCAAGGCAAAACACTGTTGTGTGTGAAAACGAGCTAAACCCAGTTGGCAAACGGGTTTAAAAGGGAGCCATCATCATGAACCACCCATTTGAAATTGTTCGTACTTGTGACACATACGCACATTACATGCCCGTACCGAGTTGAGAAGGCAAGGTCGGTGCTCTCTCGTTCCTTGCTCCGCCCTTTCAGCGCAAGCACGTTCAGCATTGTAGTTGCCCGAAAAGGAATGTAAGCAAGGCTGTTCAAGGCAGTTGTCGAATTTACAATTCGTCGGAATTGAACCATGTGACACGGAACTGCTGCAACATTCAATAGGTGATTTCACAATGGTAAACAAGACAACACATGGATATCCTTAACAAATGACATCTCACTTTGAATTATATCAAATTGCTCTCAAAGGCCCCCATGAGTCGGCATCGGGACTGGAGCGGGTCGCTGCGGAAGCAAATGCTCACATTCTCATGGGGCTAGGTGAAGGGCTTCCTGTCTGATTGCCATGCGGCCACCCATCAAACTAACATCCGTTGCATGGGGGCACCACACGTGAAGTCACCATCGCACAAAGCATCGAGCAACGAAAGGGTCACTCATGAACCCTCAGCGCGACCCAGACACCGGAAAATGCGATTGGCAACAATCTGCATTGGGAAAACGACATGAAGCCTGGGGGACTTAACACAAAATGCTTGTAGCCCAGGGTTCTATGACACCGAAGAAGGGAGTTCGACTGCTGGGTGCTTCAAGGAGAACATGGGCAGCTCAGTTCTGAGGGCGGGACCTTCCGGCTTCTGCTGGACACAGCCCTCGGCCAAAGGACGGCAGAGGTGGCTGCTCACTGAATGGGCTTGGGCATAGTTTCCATCTTCACCAACCCATGATGAGTCGCTACAGGTACTTCGAGGAAAGGAACCTTCCACATATTTCTAGCCAACGCGTCTTTCAATTGAACTTCCTTCGCGGATTCAACGGCTCTTGAACATTGACACACGATTGGGTGTGGCTTTGGATTCGGCCCGTGGGGGTTGTCCGATATCCTTTTGCCCGGGATTGGGTCCTCGGGCCGCACTTGCGCGGCACTTGCGCGGTGTGGATTGCGCGCAAGCTTCTCCAAGCAGTGTGTTTGCCGTTCACACAGCAACCCACGCTTTCCGCCGAGGTTGCTCCAGCAATTCTAGGCCAGCAACATACTCTTGACACAACAGAAAACGCAGCAAGCTCTGCCACGGCTTGGACACAGCCTGAAAGAAGGAGAGCGCGTGTTGCGGCTGCCTATCCATTGCTTGAACCGCGCCACTAAGGACATCCGAGACAGCAAATGGCTGGATGTGTTGCTGAGGCTTCTCGCGCTTGCGCGCAACTTGCGCGCGGCTTGCGCGCAACTTGCGCGCGGCTTGCGCGGATGTTGTCGTGCCAGTTGCTGATTGTTGAAGTCATGACCGCAGAAGCTTTGGCTGCCTTTGGCGTCTGACTGAACAAAAACATTGCAGCCAGCAAGCTGTGTGGTGCGTGTGTGTGTTCAGTCCTTTGCCCTGGAAAACTCACAAAAGTTTGAAAGGCAGAGGCACGCGCTCCCTTGCAGGAACCTTTGCAAACCAGCTTGTGGCCTACACGCGACAAGCAAGTGCAGAAAAAAGATATCACTCCTTTCATGAAGCTAGGCAACATCTGTGCATGAAACCCTTCAAAACTGTAAACTTGCGCATCCCTTGGGCCGCAGTTGCGCGCTCCTTGCGCACTCACAGCTTTTGACAACTTTTACTTCTCCCTGTTCAGCGACAATTAAAACAACAACTAGGATTTTAGGACGGCCCTCACATACAGAGTCGCACGACTTCCCCCTCCCAGCGTACCAGAGGTACTCGACTGCAAATTGACGTCAGCGCTTTCCACAGAGTGAGCACTACACTCTACCGCTATTGGGTTGGATCTTTAGACTTTAACTTATTGGAGTCCTTTCATGTTTCTTTTTAATGGTCATTTGGGGGCCAGGAACAGTGATCAACCCCCCACATGCGTCACGTGAGTCACGTCCTCACAACAAACGGTTCAGGGACAGTCCCAGCCATAAATAGGTGCGGATCTCCGCCTTCTTAGTTCTTTACATGGTTCTGGGTAGTTCTGTTTGATACCAGGTTGTGATTGTGACTCAGGTGCTGCAAGTGGAAGTGTACTTGGGTGCTGTAGTCCCCCAGCAAAAGCTTAACTTTTCTTCCTTTTAGTGGCTTTCCAACCAATGGCTCATCCCATGTTTATCGGACCTCTTGATCAACCCCCATGTAAGGCCAGTGCCCATTCACCATGGGTTGCAGACGGAGCCGCTGAACCTGATTCGGCGCCCAACGACCCACAGGGGATATTTCGACCTTTGATATGGGTGTCTTTTTTTGGGCCACCCCCCCCAAACGGTCGTCTTCCTTTTGGTGTCCTTCTCCCAATAAAACTGACGCACCCACATTGCTTGATGCCTGGTATCGCCAAACATGATTTAGATTATCATGGGTGGTAACGAACACCAGCTAGCCTCTAAGTCTGGTAAGGCATGCCGATGTGTGTGTCCTCCATAAAGCTCCAGCTCAAACTTTAATCAGGTTTGCGAGAAACGCGCCAGATGCAGCTGAGCCACTAGCGACCATGGACCAAACAAAATCTACACATTTCGAAAGTAGCTGGGCCAGGGCAGCGGATTGATCCGCTGACAGCAAAAGGCCACATTCAGAACTGCCAGCGCGCAAACGCGGATCGAATCTGGGTGATCAGCGTGTGCATGACGGCATGACGGCATAGGACCAAAGGCCCTTCATCACCATTCTGCACCATGATGTTTTGTAAGGCTTTGTCAAGCAGGTCAAGCACAATCTTGCGCAACACAATCAAGCACAATCTTACGTATTCCTAGAGTAAGCTCTGGTTTTGAGTGGCTGGCGTCAGGAATCATGCAAGTGTCAAAGGTTCCCGACAAAATAGTTTCCCACTCCTCAAGGGAAGCCCGTGGATTTCAACACGCTGGTGGACAATCCACTCACAAAGGCACTGTCGCTGCCCTCATCAAAAGCGCGGTTTTTCCTCAGCGAAAATAGAACTGCCAGGTGCAATCTCTTGGGATGCCGTTCACCTGAGCGCTGACACGATAGGAGGCCAAGTGCACCCCTTAGACAATCCTCCGAGTGCAACTGGATCTTGGTTCGTAGGACCCACTATTCAGCACCCATTTTGTCAGAGACAAGCTTCCATGAAGATGAGATGTTTCAATCTTCTCGTTCACGCTAAGCAGCACTGTTCGAGGGTGAGCAACCTAGAAATGGAATGCACGTTATGCGATCCTCGCCCATTCGCCTCATGTGTCAGCTGGCTGATCAGGGTCCATCAGTCCATCGTCTGAGATACACCAATCCAAAGTCCAACTCAAAATTCAATAAAATAACTTGCGGACATAAACTAACTCAAGTACCCAAACCTCAAACTCCCCTGAACCAAACTTGCGGACAAAGACCATGTGACCGAGATCGAGACCTCTTCTGCGGCTGCGGCTCGTGGGTCGCCCTGCCGGAAGCCTCTACAGGATGCACTGAACGTGCCAATCAATGAGGAACCCTTTGGAATAAGCACCAACCTGTTGCAACCTTTTGGAAAATCTGCCAACCTGAATTGAGGGAGCGGCATGGCGGGTATAATCCATTTGATTTCAGCCCGCAACAAATCATGGAGATCAGCCATCTTGGATGCGGTGCTGGATAGGGCTTTCCATCATTGTTTCTTTCAGCGACTGGCACCTGCTCCGATTGCAACCCAGCAGGGGGAAATGGGCCAGGTGGACCATGTGGCATCATCTGCGAATATCTACATCGTCAGAGGCAGGGGAGAACTGAATCGACAATCCCAAAACGGCAAATCCCGATATTCGAGACCGTTGCTTGATTGACCACGAAAAGCGATAAAGGCAAGTGAGGCAGCTACAAGTAAACACCAGATCTGAGCACCTGTCGCAAATTCTGAAACCACCCGGCCATGTTTGAGCATCCTCAATTTAGCATCCGCCTTTGCTATGGTTGCCTTGAGAAGGAACCCAAGGTGTACCACAGCAAGGGGATTGCATTTTCCCGGCAAACGGCATCAATGTTTGTTGCGCCATAGCGTTCGATTTCAGCACAAACAATCTCATTCAGATCCTGCCCAAATATGGCAATCCTCAATCAAACAACTTGTCCAATTGTAAAATACCAGCTACCTAAATAGCTGAAATACGGAGTTCTAAATACCCAAGTAAGGACAATGGATCATGAATGAGGTTCAACACAGATTCATGGCTAAAACTGGAGGCAGGAAGCTGGTCCAAGTGCTTAGCCGCTGAGCCGCTGAGCCGCCCACGTTCCCATGCTGCGACTGCCGCATGCTGATCTCCAGCCATGTTCAGCAAGACCTCAATGACCAGCTCCAACACATGTTTTGGTCTAAGGGCCTAGCTGTCCCACCACATTCTTGGGAGTTAGTTGAGCGCGATTTGGATGTTCCGAGGTCTTCCCTGAACAAGTGTAAGGTTTGAGTCAGGTGAATAGGACTACCCCCTGAGTTGCGTATTCGCAGTTACTGTGGCCATGGAAAAAGGGGAGGCCAAAGGTCTCTCTCACAGCATCCGGCTCTGTCTCCGTCTGCCCAACGGCCTGCCTGTTTGATTTTGAACGTTTGCTCGCCCAGGTGCGTGTTCGCGTGCGTGCGTGCATGCGGGTGCGTGCGTGGGTGTGTGTGTGTGGGCAGTGTTGTGGGTGTGTGGAACGAATTCCGCTCCAGCAACTACGGCACAGAACTACCCTTCAGCAACCAAACTTTCCCGCTTCAGCAACCACGGCTCAGAAACTAAAGCCAACCGCGCGCTTCAGAAACTAAGAGATCCGCTTCAGCAAGGAGCCCAAACCGTCGAGCTCTCTCGTATGGGGTGGGGTAGGGATGGTTGATGTTCTTTGATCTTGAGCTTGAACTGATGTCAGCGAAAATGCGTATTCTTGTGAGCTGGCCTGCCACCGCTGCCGCTCGTCTAGAGCATGCTGTGGGGTGCGATGGGTGCGGTGGGGTGGGGGGTGGGGTTGGGGATGGGGTTGGGGATGATCGCCCATTGGCACTTGCAGCACGCCACTACCACCACACGTCGACGTGGGACAGGGCGGGAGGGTGGGGTGCAACCGGACATTCCACTGATGTGCAATTCATGCACCTGCATGCCAAGCCTGAGCTGAAGGTAATACAGTAATACACCTTCGCACACTTTCACTTCTCAGAAAGAAACAACCGCATTCGCTGAGAGCGAGCAAGCAAGCTGGCCAACGAATTAGCGCCTGCTGGCCCGGGGTACAGTTTCTTGGTTTCCAGCTTCTTGGTTTCGGAAGCATTGTTTCGGCAAGAGCGTTTCAAAAGTTTCTGAAGCAAAGCTTCGCAATGTTTGGCTTCCGATGCATAAACCCGAAGGCCGAAGCATAGTTCCTCGCTTTGCGAAAGATTGTTTCTGAGCGCGCGCTCGTGCGAGCTTTCTTGCGTCTGTGTGTGTGCGCGCGCGCGTCAATTGACTGGCTCCCTTTCAATTCCCCTCTCGAGTCGCATTCTGCACTTTCGGGCTCCCCGTTTTCGCAGAAAGCAAACTGGAGCCCCCGGAACCGGGGCCGAGTGAAAGGCGTCAACAAATTGATTCGCTGCTCCTTTGACCGCTGAAAGAGTCGGGCCACGCAGGCCAAGCGTGGGATTGCGACAGATCCGCGTGGGCTGTTTGGGTGGCAACACTGGGGTTCAGCTGAGCTCGGAGCTTCTGACGGAGCCATCCACTTTGGTACGCCGCTGGTTCTTCAGGATCTCACTTGCTGAGTGGATGGACCAAAAAAAGTCCACACTTTATATTTACCACTAAAATGGTCTTCCCAAAAAGTTTAAAGTTCATGAACTCGGGAAGTGAGGGATGTCTTTTGCGCACCAAGAAAACCTCTTGAGTCACGAAACACTTCCAGCTCCACAATGGCGAACGCATCCCATCCCCTGCAAACCCTCTTCCATAACCATTTGGGCTCAAGAGCTTCGAGTGACACGAGGAAAAGCCTGGTCGATGCGCGAAAACTGTGGCGTTTTTGCTACATCTGGACTTGCGCGTGCGCGCGCGCGGGGGGCAGCCTTCAGCTCTCGTTGTGCAGGCGCGCAGGCATCGCGGAGTGCCTTCATTTGAGTCATAATCAAAACCCCGCATCAAAATGGTCTACCCAGAAGCAGCTATTTAGGGTTGGGATTGTCCCTTACTACCCTTCATCTACCTGGGTTTTGAGCACGTGGCTCATTGCCTTCATTTGGCCATGGGTCAAAAGCCCGTACCCCCAGTGAACATCCCAATCCCCACTCAAAATAGACTACAATGGGTGGTGCACCTACCCCAAATTAGTACCATTGGTTTTGACCCACAGCCATTTGACTGTGTGTTTGGTGAATTTGCAGACCATCTGAAGCGGCGGATGGTGGGGAATCGGGCAGGCGTCACTGACAAGCTTGCCACCGGTTTTCAGACCAAGGCCCGCCGGCTTGGTTTCCTCTTGACTTGGACATTGGTGACGCAAAGCGGTTTAAGCTGATTGCAAAATGGGTATGTCTGTTTTTTTGGTGAACCTCCAAATGTTGGGTTTTCCTTTTGGGCCCCTTTGAAGCCATCTAAAAATGCTACAAAAAGAGACATCCAAATGAATCGATCCGCTTTCAATTTATAATGTGTGTGTGTGTGTGTTGGTGGGAGTCTGCGTGTTTTGCATGTGTGCGCGCACGCGCGACGTGCGTGCCTGGGTGGGTGGGCGGAAGGGTGGGTTGGTGTGTGTGTGTGTGTGCCTTTGTGTGTGTGTGCCTTTGTGTGTGTGTGTGCCTTTGTGTGTGCCTTTGTGTGTGTGTGTGTGCCTGTGTGTGTTTTTTTGTTGTTTGTTTGTTTGTTTGTGTTTGGGTGCATGCGTGGTGTCCATCTCATGCAGTTGTTTGCAGGTTTGCCTCTTGCTCTCTCTATCCACTTCATAGTGGATACCGCTAAGCGCAGGGCTGCGGCATTGCGCCAATAGAGGGGCACGTGTGGCGCCATGGTTATGGCTTGTTCGGCCGCCTGCGGAAGCGTGGGCACTCCCAAAGCAACGCCGCCCAGCCAAGTTCAAGCAAAGTCGAGACGACTGGGCGGACTAGGGGTGTGGCCATGCAACGACCGTGGGAGTGTCCTTTTTACCTTTTTGCTTTTTTGAGGGCCTCCCTTTTTGGTGTCCCGAGAGAGACCAAGACACCCGGAAGTGCCTGTATGCCCTGCTGCACCAGCTGCGTGTTCATGGGTTCGGCGGACAAACCCAGCAGCACCAAGGCACAGGCCAGGTTGTTGTGCCTCGCAAGCACATGGTCGCCATGTCGGCAGGAACACATGTTTGTTGGCAGTTTGCTCTCTGGAAATCAAAGTGAGCAATCCATTTAACAAAAGCAACTCAGGCGCGTCAAAATAACTCTATTCGAGGGTGCTTCCCCCAAACCAGTCAACGTCCCTGAACCGCGCAATGCAAGCGAATTCATCGAGCTAAGAGCCGGACCCTTTCGGGAAGCCTGGGTTCGTGATGATGGCCTGAGTCGCGACTTGATTCTCGGCATGTCTTCGTTGCATGGCTGCAGCTGCATCCGACCAGCGGGCAACGAAAGCGGAGAAACGCCGCATGTGGATCAGCCCTCTTTGGGCCACCTCGCATTCTGGAAGCTGTGAGCGGCCTGGGCTGCAGAAAGCCTTGCCCTGTATTGAACACCAGAGAAAGTCATCAAGCTGGCGGGGGATCCAGAACGCAGACGCAAGCGAAGCGGTTTTGGGCCTTGCTTTCTGGAGTGGGCCTACAACTCGTTCTGTCTGCAACGTCAATTGACGTCGAGGGTCTTTTAGGGCGTGACCCAAAGACACAAATTGTCCAAATGACCAACTACAAACTTCCAGCAAGCCCAGAAAAACCCATTGGGTGGTCCTGATCCTTTGTTGGACAATCACCCACAGTTTCCGGTGGGATATTCTCAAAAGAACCCACCAAAGAGGTGAGAGAGTGCCATCGGGGGGTCTGTCTGGCCTCCATGTGGCGGCCGACGTGCCAAAGTGCCAGGCCGTAGTCGTGCCAGACCTCCTCCTAACGCTGAACGGCAAAACAGGGTTTTGAGAGCATCAAATGGCTGTGGGTCAAAATAGGTACCACAAATGGAACCCTATTAAATGGAAGAAGGACAAAAACCTGCAGTCCAATTCCTGGTGGTTCAATTTTGACCCAAATCCAAACCCAAATGCTAGATGAGTCACAATCAAAACCCGGTACTGTTTTTGCTTGGGATTGCCCCTCACTAACCGTCATCTACCCGGGTTTTGATTGTGGCTCAGATGCTCTACCAATGCTTCCAAACACAGCCACAGGGACATTATTCACTCGTACTCATAGGCACTCCATTGATTAAAAAGCCAGCTTGAACTTGTGCATCTTTGCTATGTATCGGGAAGCGGTATTGCAACAGCGACAGTGAGGCGTGACTGTATATAGACATATTTCTCAGGAAGCCCGCAAATCTAGGTCAAAAAAGGTAAGGTTTGCGCTGGGTGCCCTTGCTACACGCTCAGAATCCATGCCTCCAACGCAAGACAAGTCTGATAGACCGAGCCACCTCATGGAGCGTCAATGGACTGAAGTAGCCAGTCACTGCCTGCGCAAGCCGACAGTCCCAGGCAGTTGACAGTTGATATCCACCAACCACTTGGGGGTACTCCTCGTTAAATTTCATAGCCAGGTGATCTATCCTTCTTGTATTTGTGCAGGTTGCCACTTGTCCAGTGATCGTGTTTATATGTTGCAGTTTGCCGGTAGTCGCTCAGTGTGTTGTGTCGACCTCCAAACACGATATCACAGCTTCAAAAAAGAAACATACTGGAGCGCATTGCAACATCATCACATCACCTACAGTACACCCCACACGCCTCGCCATTGGTTAAAACTCACACCCCGATTTGAAGAGCGCAGAACGTACGCAAAGGCCGCACCATTCTGAATATTGGTGAGTGGCTGCCTGTCATGGGGAAAGTTCAAAGGCCGATTTTGGAGACTGCAGAAAGTCCGCAGAAGCTTCACCATTTTTACTCTTTGACCTTTACACTGCGCCGCGCCACAGCCATGCTTATCCGAGGCAACCTTCATGCTCGCGCGTCACGCTCGCGACTATAGCCTGCCTTATTTTTGGCACGTGCTCACATGTATTGTCCATGCAGCTTTTTATACGATGGGTGTTTTGCAACTCAACTTTGAACATCGTCGATCCCACTCACTTCTGGGGACCTGTCCGGAATTACCAAACCTCGTGCAGCCGACAGGCAACTTCCCCAAACGCCTGAGAGCACACCATGAAAGGCCAAAACTCCGGCGACACACACCTCGCCTTTTGCAAGTAGACCTCGGCCTCCTGGTACCTGCGAACCGGAAGAGACCGATTGCCCAGCATGGGATGGAATGCATGCCCATAACACCCATGTGCGCCGGGAAGGAGCCGCTCACTGCTCATGCAAAGTCCTTTAAGCAACACACATGTCCCCAAGCTGATCTTCGGCAAGCATCCCGTCCAGAAGCTGCGGCTCGTGAGTGGGCCCAAGAAAACCAACATCTGGGTGCGCCTTTTGTTCAAGGGGAACCCATCCCCATTTTTGTGTTGTTTCTTGGTTTGCCGCTTGCCTTGATGGCAACCCACCTGGAAACCATTTCATGAATGCTGCCAGCACGAGGGTTCCTTGGACTTGCGCGCCCTTGTGGCCACTAACTACGCGGTCAAAAGCTGCACCGCATGCTGAGGGTCCCTCCAAGGAGCTAAGGCCAACCAGCTTTAGGCTTTTAGACGCAGGCAATGTGCAGAGGTTCTTTGGCTACATGACATCACATCACATTCCCGAAATGCTTCACTGCGTCAAGCCGAAAACGATTTTAACTTCGTGCCTGCGCTGAGGCCGGGGGACAAGACAAATATTGCAGTTAGACATCACCCGTACATACCTGTAGAAGCAGGGGGCGAATATAGAATGCGCAATTTGTGCATCCAAGTGGCTGTCCTTGGTACCTCAGATGACATGTCACGAGAAAAGCGTTGGGGTGGTCAACAATTCCCACGTGCGCGCGCACACAGGGTCCAAGCAAATCAGAAATAGTCCCCGCACCGACGGAGCGCGTGATCCCGGTAATGCTCTTTTTGCTGACCTTTCCGACCGACGTACGTTAGAGAGCGGCACGCCGTGGGGGCGTTTAGTTCTTTAAAAGTTGTTGAGAAAAAACACATGTTTTATCATCTTCGCAACTGAAGTGCTGGCAGAGCATTGATCTCCCTCATGAGCAGCGTTGTGCACAGACTAAGCAAGCCATTTGCTCGAGCCAACGCAATCGAATTTGGGAGTTCTCGAATTGATCATACCTGGGCTGCTACCATACGACTCAGAGACTACCTTGATAACCAACAAAAAAAACACAGAAACACCAAAAATGCAGACCCCATGTCGCAGGTGTTAGGTCTCATGTCAGGTGGTCGGGGTGTGTTTTTTGTTATTTTGCTTGCTTTTTTGGTTTCTTGCCAACACAGCCCCCGCGGCGTACCCTGCTTTCTTCTGACTAGGTGGAGTCCTTCTCATGACCAAGAACACCGCCACATTTGACCAGGGCAGACTGACTCTTCTAACTGCTTCCAAGTGCAAATCTACCTTTGATAGACATTGCTGTATGCGGGGAAATACATCACCACAATGAATGGATGTCGGTTGACTACCGCATTCTCGTATCTCGCCAGTAATTCACCTTTTTAAATGGGGAGCCGACAATTCCGCCTTGCCTTTGCCTTGTCCAAAGCCACAGCTTTGACAATTTGACCGTGAGTCAAAATGAAGACTTTGTAACGAAGGCGTTCAACAAGTGCAACAGGGATCCGGATGCATTATACACCTGAGCATTGCAACTTGTAAATGGAGGTTTCCCTTTATTTTGGTGGAAAAAGCCATGTTTCAAATGCGCAAAATGTATCTTTTAAGGAGCCATGAGCAAAGAGGATGACTTTCCGCCACAACTTCCGTCCACAATCGCTTCCGAGCGTCAGAAGGATCTGACCGGCGTGGTAGAGCGGTTGGGAATCGCGCTCCTGGAGAGATATTATCTCTTGCTCCGGCACATGAAACGTGTTCCACCTAGAAACCGGTGCCAACAATATTCGGCTGGCAACAACGTGCCAGTAAAAGATGAGTCAGCAGTTGCCCTTGTTTAACCAAGCCAGTGCTAAGAATGGGGTAAGAAGCGAATTAAGTGGAGTCCAAAGATATCGAAAAGCCAAGCCGGCCAACGATTTAAACAATTTCCCTCTTGAATTTGCGGTACTCGTTCCTGGGAAGTATTGTGTGGGTTGATTCTGTGTCAGCTGCCTTTTTGTTGTCATCCCCCATGGCGATGGAAGCCAGGCCCGTGCAACTCGGTCTCAAGAAGTACAGATGACACTGTTCGTTGCCAGAACAGGAGCCCGGGGGCCAGCAAATGAGCCCCGTGCTGGCTGTACATGGGCACATCGGGTCCCGTGAAGCACAAAAGCCTTACGCACTTGTGCACTTCCTACTGGCCATGTAAAGCACACATTGAATTTCAACTAAGCAAACAAAGAGAAGGCCAAATAAGCACAAAATCTAGGACAAGTTTCCCAGTGACAAGTGAGGGCAGCAGACGTGCAAGGCATGTCTGCTTTGCCAGATGAAATCAATTGGAATTGGTGACCGGGCATTGCCAAGTCCCGAAAGCTAAAGGCATTGCCAATGGCCCGAAAATTGATATACAGTCTGAAGCCAGTCACCAGCAACCTAACCAATTCTCAGAAACCAATGAGCCTGCATCTTCAACATCTTCAATAACGCTGTGAACCATTTTGGTACCAGCAAACCCTGGACATTCTGACGGCTGGACAAAGGTGAAGCTATCAGTCTACGACCACCTCAGCGCGGAGAAAGAAGCATTTTTCGCAAGTGCGACACTGTCTCAAGTGAGTCAAAATCAAAAAATGGTCGACCCAGAACCATGCTTCAAGAATTATGAAGGCGGATATCCGCAGCAATTTATGGTTGGGATTGTCCCTTACTAACCTTCACTCACCCGGGTTTTGATTGTGACTCAAGTGTGCCATGAAGGTGAATTGCAACTCTTACATTCCACCCTGCATGTTGAGCAAAAACAGCTGCGGTCTGCAGTGACGGGGAGAGACTCTAAGCTTTGCATCATCACACGGACCGTTGAGATGATAAATGCTAAGCCAACATTGTGAGATCAAGTTCTGCTTGCATCGGCGTCAAACCAAAGCTTATTATCCCCAAAGCCGTCGCAGCTTTTCAAGCCATCCGCTCATTCAGCGGGAAATATGTTGCAGGCGACAACTTTACACCCTCTGTCGTGGGAATCCTAGCCCTGCCATCTTCATGGCTCGTAGTAAGAACCAGTTTAACAATGAACCCTTTGCCCCAAGAGCTCTTAGCGGGGGCCTTTTTGGCAACAGCCCCCTCTGCCGAAATCAGAGACCGAGACACTAAGCTTCGTAGCGGGGCCCCGATTTGGGCAACGGGCCCCTCAGCCCAAATAAGAAACCGAGACACTGAGCTTCTTAGCGGATTTTTTCTTGAGCAACCGACCGCTTTGCCCAAGTAAACATTTGCGACTCTGACTTTATTAGGTCCAGGAAACGCTCGAGATAGCTGTGGCTGTGTGGGTTTGAAGGGCGCTTGAGAATCCGTTGATCGGCTTGTAGCTACATTGACTGCGGTTTGCCCCGTAAGGGCGGCGGGGACACGGTAAGCAAACAGGTCAAATATGACTGCTCATGATAGAATTTGCTAAACAAATTCAGTGCCACTAGCTCGTGGTCTCGCATACACTTGCTTCGAACACGCAATAGCCGCCTAAGAGCGCGAGTGACACTGACCACATCCTTAGCAGAATCTTATCCGCCGGCTGGGCTGTAAGTAACACGGACCTTCATGCTGCAATCTGGGCTCAATCTATGTCAGACTAGTTCAAGATCAAAGTGACAACCTCCCGATGCTATCTGAGTAAGTTTTGCTCACCCATTCTTTAGCCTGCAACCCACAGGCAGGGCTGAGTGCGGAACCCCTGCCAAAGGGATGGCGTTTGCTGGCCAGCCGCGCAGATTGGCCTTCCAAGAGCTGATTCAGCAAGACGGCAACTGAGGGGAGGGCTTTTCTTGGCGGTGTTGGCATGCAAGCGACATGGAGGTTGATCCAAAGGTCTGATAAACATGGGGTGACCACTATGGAAGCCACCAAAGAACAAGACTTTCGCCACTAAATGTGAAAAGCTACTCATGGTCATTTGGGGCCAGAAATATTGATCAACCCCTACATCTGCATCTAAGCTTGCAGTTCTACACCATGCTGCTCCGTGCTAGCACCCTAACGTTCTTTGTCTCGACTCTCCGACTGCTCTCTTGTTGTGAACACCTGAGGTCCAAGGGTTTCCGTTTGAAGTCAAAACCGACCATGGAAAGCATCTCCGTAGCTTGATAAGATCCAACCGGGGTAGGATACCAAAATCGCTCACAATCAAAACACTCGGTTTTAAGCAATCAACAAACCTTGCTGGCGATCAAACACATGGTGTTTGCTGCAAGCTACATCCTGTGACAAGCGCGGCGTGTTTGGTGATGTTCATGCTGCGCCGCGCAGCAGCACTCAGAAGAAGAACGGCGAGGCGCGCAGAACTGCAACTTCGTTTAGACAGCCCTGAATTCTGTCCCCAGATGGCGCACGGATCACCAAACGCTCCGGGCACCAATATGTGTGGAGTAAGTGACGATCCTAATTGATGCACCTGGCTCATAAAACAAAAGCAGATTTAGGGTGGAATTCGGGATGACTCAGTTGCCGCGTTGTTTGTCGGGCATGGCACAGCATTGATTTTGGCCGGGTGTCGAAGCGCCGCATTGGCAACTTGTAGCAGGCCGTGAAGCTCAAACATTTCTCATGACTCAAGACCGGCTTTATCTTTCCCAGCAAATCTTGCTCGACACAACGGCTTCCTCAGAGCAACGTGCTATAGCCTTGGTCTGGGGTTGGTCTAGGATTGGTTTAGGGTTGATTTCAGATTGGTTTGGGGTTGGTTTGCGGTGGAATTAGAGTGGGTTTAGGAGTGATATAGCGTTGGTCGGTGTAGGGGTTTTACAGTCGGCTTGGGGTTGGGTTAGGGTCGGTTTAGGGTTGGTTTGAGGTTGGCTTAGGGTTGGTTTGGGGTCATTTACGGTTGGTGTAGGGTTGGCTTAGGATGTTTTAGGGTTGGTTCAGGTTGGTTTAGCTTTGGCTTTGGCTTGGTTTAGGGTTAGTTTAGGGTCGGCTTAGGGTTGGTTCGGCTGGGTTGGCTTAGGAAGGTTTAGGGTTGAAGGTCGGTATAGGGTTGCTTCAGGGTTGGCTCAGGGTCGGTTTAGGGTTAAGGTTAGGAGGGTTTAGGGCTGGTACAGGGTTGGTTTAGATGGTCGGTTCAGGGTTGGTTGAGGGTTGGTTTAGGGTTGGTTTAAGGTTGGCTTAGGGTGTTTATTTTAGGGCTGGTTTAGGTGGTTTAGGGTGGGTTTAGGGTCCGTTTAGGGTCGGTTTAGGGTTGGTTTGGGGGTTGGTTTAGGGTTGGTTTTGGTTGCTAGCTCGCTCGCTGGCTCTGTGGCGCGCTGGTAAAAAGTCCTCGTTGGGGTGGACCAAAATCCACGTAAGGATGTCTCACCACGAACAAGAGAAGAGACGCGCACCAAGCATTGCCTGTCGCAACTATTCAAACCTTGTCATGGAAGGTAACCCCCTGGGCTGTCTCACCACGAAAGGATGGTTCGGAAACCAACTGACGGGATCAGGGCCTATCAAGGGAACCAAGGGGCAAAAGGACAAAAGGACAAGGCCAGCGGGACCAAGATACCACAAGACTACAAGCAATTATGGGGGGATTATGGCAATTAAGTGTGTTTTGGTTTATTAATAAAACGAAACAACATTTTCGGAGGACCAACAGTTTTCTTTTCATTGCTCAAACAAGTGTTTTGCTGAGAAACAGGGCTCTTACGTACCATTTTTTTCTAGGTACTGAGCTTACGACTTGAGTAGTACATGCCCTAACGACCTACACATCTACGAATGATGGTGGAACATTGGAATGTACTCACCGCATCAAACATCACAGTTTAGCCGGTCTGAAGGCAAAACAACAACCGACATCCAGCATGAAAACTGCAAAGCCGCCAAGTCTACCCATTTGCAGTGGTTTGCTGAACCCTGCACTTGTGCTTAGTAGAATTCCATGCCCTGTTCTTCGGCTGGGGTAGTGCTTCAGGTGTGAACTGTTTGGGTTGATGTCATGGTTTCTTGCAGCGCGTGGACATCCGCTGGGATTCAAAGCTCCGTTTGGCAAGCGAGGGAGCGGGAAAAGCCGCTGTGCGTCACACTCTCTGGCCATATCTGCCACAACAAAGTGGCAAGGTGTATCGGATGCTATAGAAAAGCATGAAGCACAAGCACAACAGGGACCCCTAGCAAAAAAAAATGGCGTGCCTTTCCCTTGCCACACCACACAAAAGGAACGAGCACCCAAGACTCGTGTAAAGGTTTCGGGCGCTCGCGCCTCAACCTCTGCATCTTTCGGGCGCTTGGACCTGGAAAGCGACCGAACCCCTTGGAAGGAAAGTTCACCAACCACTGCCAGGGCGTGTCCTTTGTTTGGAGATCCCCCGAACTGGTGGTTTTCCTTTTGGTTTCCCTTCAAAAACACCAAACAGGGGGTACCCTGCCAAAAAAAGCACCCACTCCAATGATCAACAACCTCAGAAACCAACCACAAGCAGAAACCAACAACCACCAAAGCCAAAACAATAACAGACGCGGCCCGAGTTGCCCGAGTTGCAAAGATGAAAGCATAGAGTGAAACTACCATAGCTGGCTTGTAGGCCTGCAACTCTAGCGCCTAAGATCACTGCAACTGCTCCACATTAATTCCCGCGACACACAACCTAACTGCTGGATGTCTTCAACTGAATCCCACAAATCAAAGGCTTCTGCTTCTTCTTCTCTAGTTGGCCAGAAATTGATCTCCAAACAACTGTATGCAGGCAAAACTTGTGAAACCGGTTCTTGTCACAAAAGGCTTGATAACAATATCTGGAACGCCGACCTTCCACGTGCAAGCGGGTTTCTCCCAGTTGCCCGTGGGCCAGTTCAAGCGAACAACATCTGACAATTCCCAGGTAGCTGAAATCGATGGTGAACTATGCCAGCTTTGAATACTCAAATGCTATGTGTGAAACAAATGCGCCTGGTTAATTGTTGGTTTCCGAAAGGCTCTCCTGAACAAGTTTCCGCACATCCGTGTGGAGGATCCCAACAGCCAGGCTCGCGCGTCACCGTGTCACTCGCTTGGGCTCGCGCCATGGAAGCCAACTGGGCCACTTGAAAGTGCTCACGGTCCTCGGTGCGGATCAAATGAATGGCTCTCTGAGGGGGTGGGCGTTTGGGGGCGGGGTTGGGGGGGTTGGGGCGGTTAGGGGGGTGGGGGTTGGGGCGGTTAGGGGGGTTGGGGGGGTTGGGGCGGTTAGGGGGGTTGGGGGGTTGGGGGGGGTTGAGGGTTGGGGGGTAGGGGCCCATCTGATCCTTCCGTGAAGTGCCCCTGTGCCAGGACGGATTGCAACATGACACAGGTCCTCAGCACTCCGTGGGTTTGTGCCACTAGCTGGGCCTGACATAGGATGACACTCCAGCAAGAAGCCTGAAATCAATGCAGGATGGCGATAGAACTGGCTCATAATCTGTGACGTGCGTGAGAATCGCTTGGCCACTGAATATATATATATATATGAAGTTTCGGTCGGATAGTGGCTGGCTAATGTTGGGCTGCGGAGCATGCTGGTCCAAAGGTGTCTTTAAGTTGCAGCTTCAGATGTTTGACTGTGATGGAGTCAAATCGTATTTCATAGTTGTCAGTCGCAGTCGAGGTTTCGTCGTGTGTGTGTGTGTGTGTGCGCGCGTTGGCAGTTATTTGTGGCAGGTTTGCTCTGCAGTGTTGCCTTAAAACGAGACCCCAGTTTGCCGCAACATGCAAGTCTTGGTGCTGAGAATAGGTGTGCCGCTACAATTTACCTTGCTACCGAAACTCATCCTGATGTCATCCAACAGCAAAAAACACAGCCAACATATAAACTGAGCTACGCATGAATCATCACATGGCACCATGAAACGAGCCATGTAAGCCCCTGAATCCTTAAACTACATGAATTGCAGATGTCCAGAACACCCCCACATGATCTTAGTTTGGCTTCTTTTCACAAGGCCCGAAAGCCAAAAAAACAACTCAGAGTCGACAACAAATCTGCGCCCGCGAATCCGGTCCCTGGCTTGGAAAAAACCAAAGGGTGGCGCTGAGTCCAAGTGAAACTCTGCCAACACAGTCCGATTTTCAGCCCGCTGCTCCAGCTTCACATCAGCCGCATCCGCGAACACCTGCGGCTTTGGCGAGTCATCCCGGAGATGGAGCTGCTGGTGAACCGGCTCTACAAAAAAACAACAACAACAGAACAACAAAAAAGCCATGGCTCTTCTAAAAAAAACACGCCATGCCAGCAGCCTACAGTTTTTCCTTGGCAAGCCATCCTTGTCATTCACATTTCGAAAACCCTTCGGACCTTTTGCGGGCCTCATGGCATCTGACCTCTCGCTTTCGATCAAACCGGCCAAGACAAACCACTCAGGTGCCCATATGGGACCTGGAAACAAAAGGTGATCACCTTTTGGGTTGCCATGACTAAAAATGGAAACCAAAACGGGAAAACCAAAAAGGTCAAAAGGTCGATTTGCTTTGGGCAACTAAGAGACAAGGTGCGCCTGCCACTTCTCGTCGTCTTCTCCTTCAAACGCAGCTCTGGCCTCAAGGATTGACTCGAGTGTGGGACATTTGTCGATGGCTCAAAATGAAACGATCGGGGCAAACCGCAGGTTTTGGTCTGTGTTTCCACTTACCAGGGCAAGCCATTTTGGTACCGGTTTTTTGAGCCACAGCCATTTGACTTAGATGAAACTTGCCTGTGGCAGCATCACAGGGAACCAACCACAAGGCAGTCAGCCGAGAGCCTGCTCGCCAGCACTTCTGCATGCAACCAAATGTTGCGGGAGATACCGTCTGTGCACTTCCATGTTAGTCGGTGAGGGGCAGGTCCTTGGACATATCTACCCCCACCAAGTAACATGGGCGTGTGCACATTTGACCCATAAAACGATAGCCGAGGACTAAGGCCGATGCTTTAGCTGTGTTCTCACGGTCTTTAGGGTCAACGGCTCGTATGAGCACCTCACGGTTGAGACAAGCTGAGATGGGAAAGCGGCACAAAGCAAGGGACCGGCAATCCTTCTCAAAGTCCTTTTGTGAAAAACCTACCGGGCAAATAACATGATAGCATGGGAAAATGGCGAGCATGTATCCTGCTACGTTGAGAATTTTAGCCTCATAGGTTAACAATTCCAGAATAGCAACACACCCCTCGATTGCTTACCACCTGCAACTAACCACAACTCAAGAAACCAAACAGCCGTTGCAAGCCAACACACACACACACAGAACCGCGCTGCTTGAGCGTGGCGCCTTTATGACTTGGTCTGGATGGCTTCGCATGATCTCGGCATAGACCTGCCGGAAAAGCCATCCTTTTGTGACCTCTGAAACTAGCTGTTCAGCTGCAGGTCCTACCTACAAGCAAGCACACATGTACCACATGTAACATTACCGCCAATCCACAAAGTTTCGGGCAGGCGCCACATTGAATTTGTGGGTTAGACGGGATTAGAGCTTCGTCATCGTTTGAAACTAACTGGGGCGTGAGCACCGCTTGGCATTTGTTTTTGTTTGGCTTAGTTTACAGTTGAACTTGGGTAAACTTAAAATGGCTTTGGGCTGGCTAGTGTTTCAGCAGTGCTTCCTGTTGCGAAGAGGTGTGTTCTCTGTATGTTTGTTGTTTCGATGGTTTGGTGCAACGCTGCAACGCAGCATGGGGCAGCTCAGTCTTGCTGCGGCAACAAATCAAGGGGAGACTGAGCCCGGTGATGCCAGGGCCAACCAACCATACAATCGCCTAAGCCACTCCTAAGCAGAAGCTGTTGCTAGTAAGGAAATGGCACCTCCTACAATAGGGTCTTCAACAAATGCCTCATTTCTTTGCGAGTGAAAAGTCTGCGAGTAGGGTGCGCGAGTGTTCGAGTTGCTCGCCCGTTCCACTCGCACAGTCGAACAGTCAACTTGCATACTCGCACGTCCTGCTCCCACACTCCACCCGTGCGCTCGTCAAAAAACCACTCATACACCATGTGGTAAGCGTGCCTAAGACAGCCTGTTTGGAACCTCTAGGCACCAGCATAATGTATATACATATATACATATATACATATTCACGTACGCATATAATGTTAAACTTCTTTGTCCACGATCTGTAGAGAGCACCCTCAACGACACCTGTTGCAAGAGAATCTTTGCGGGTCCTGTGGGTCCTGTGCTGCGATGTTTGTAATTTGCAACGGACCACAGCGAGAGCGATCCGAGCCAACTAAAGTCCGCAAAGGGTTCACTTCTACTTCAACATCGTTACTTTGAGTCGGTTTGGGTTGGCTTGGAGCTGATTTGCACTGGGTGTGCAGCTCGCTTTTGCAGTAGAACCGGGGATGCTGGGGATGCGGCCACCCAGCCAACTGATCAACCAACCAACCAACCCAACCAACCAACCAACCAACCCGCCCTGGTTGGGGCTAAGCCCCGAGCCGGGGCTAGCAAAAAAAAACACCGTTTGCATTTTGGCCCCACTCACCAAATGACATCCAGCCCACTCCACACTAAACAATCTCAAGTAGCATGTCTGGCCCAAATTTTGGTTCATGGGGATTGTTGCGCATTCCCCACATGTTGCCACACATGTGGCAGAAAACACAAAACTTGAAAACGACACGACAAAGGCAAAACATTCCAGCCATGGTGGGAGTAGGGTTGGACATGTTGGGCAACATTTTGGCAGGTATTTCAATGGACCAAAAAACAACACTCTAGCCATGATGGGGGTAGGGCTGTTCTTTCTTTTAGTCCAGTGGTTCTGAAAGAAATGTTAGGCATGATATGCAAAATGTGAAGCAGCATTTCGCCGATATTGCCATGAACCATGGAGAGGGTAGGGTTAGCTGTTTGAATTTGTATTTTGGTCCAGGGGTTCCGTGGGAATGTTGGCTGTCGTGTGCAACATGTTGCGCAACATTTGCGCAAGTAATTATTTACGAACGAACCAATCTAAGAGCCTCAAAATTGTTACCCAACCTTGCGGCTTTGTCCAAAACCTTCATTTTCGGGGGACGTCCTAAAACCAAGAACCCAAGTTTTCTTTCTGCGAAGTCTTGGGTCTGCGCTCCAGCCCAAACCAAAACTTGCATTTTCCCAGAAACGTTAAGCTGTTGTCACACAAAGATCCTTCTTGATCGATCTAGGAAGTGCTCAGCTTGACCCTCATTTTCGAGATAACCTTACCTGCAATGCACAGTTTTACCTTTCTGTTCAGGAGAGGAACGATGATCTGACACGCATGTTCTTTTACCCATAGTTTGCCAAGGAGCTGATCAGTGACGATTGAAACAGTGTGATTGGCTTGGCTCAGGTCGTGCTTAGATAATGTTACATGGAATTCGAGTAGGACAAGCAGCCTCTTGAAATTCAAGTTGCTTTCAAACTCAACTTGCAATTCCAACAGACCTTTTCTCCATTCGCAGTTTATTCGGCATGCACAAGGAAATGCAATTGTTTAAAGTTGAAGTTGGATTGAACTTGAAACAGCATTTTGAATTGGACCTTGCTCTCATATTTGATGTTTGATAGATACTATTCACAGCTTTTACATAGAACTCGATAAACAATACAAACACATGATGGGCTGGTTGGATTTGCTTTGCACATGTTTTTTAGCAGAATGCAAGCAGAATTTCAACAAATATAATTGCCTTCTAATTGCAAATTGAATTGAACTACGCAAGGACCTTGGGGCACCAGTATCCTTGATTTGGGTTTCATTTCCAAATAGCAATTTAGATAGGACTTAATTCCTTTCCGCAAAACTGAATACTTGCTAATTTCCCTGCACAATGACAAAAGTAAACCACAAATAAGAGAGCCACTATAGGCACGTTGAAGCTGCTCACGTGCTCTTTGCGTGCTACTCTTATGTGTATGTATATATATATATATATATTTTGGCTATGAATTTGAGAGGGTCTGTAACGCGCAACGCTCCACGAATCTTGTTACGGAGGTCTGTAACGGAGGTCCTTGTTACGCATTTCTGTCACGGGAAAACATTTTTTGACAAGTACCAGTACCCAGAACAACGAAGAGCAGCAGCTCCCGCTCGACAGTCGCAACTCTTCAGTACAAGCGCAGTGCGCAGTACGCAAAGCGCGCCTCCGCATCTCCAGCTTGATTGCCGCAAGCCAAGCTGTGGCAAAAAGGGGGGGGGTCGCGGGCCCGGGTTGGGGATGGGTCTTTAACGAGGTATGTAACGATGTCTGTAACGAGACAAAGCAAAGCACAGTCGCATTAGCGGCCCCTGGTTCAACTTTTCATTTGAATGGCAAGCTCTCTGCAAGTTGACTCTTCAGCGAAAGCATGCTCTGCAAAAGTCTGCTCTGCAGGCTCTGTGCATGCATTGGGGTATGTAACGCGGGGGCATGCAACCAGCCAACGGGGTATGTAACGAGGGGTGTGCAACAAGCCAGCGGGTCTTGTTACGGAGGTCTGTAACGAGGTCTGTAACGAATGTCCGCCACGGCTCTGTTACAGACCCTTCCAACAAATCACATATATATATATATATATTATACTGAATATATAACGTTTGTTTGAGCTGGAGCTACCAATCGCTTGCTACAAGTGGATGAGATTCAAGATTCAAGATGGCAACAAAGTGTCTGGAGAATCTTGCATCGTGAATCCCACTAATCTCAAACTGGCTTTAAAGTCATGCTTCTCAAGATTCCAGATTCTGAAGAACTATTTCTGGGAAGTATGGTGGGTCTTGGGAGCGGGGGGTAGCATATGTCGCACTACGTTGATTTATCTATGTTAACCTCCAACCGGGTGGGGGTCCTGGTTTGACCCATCTTCCTTTTAACGAGCATCAGCTTCCGGCTGCCTCGGTGCCTGAAATCCGGCTGTGGCTGGGTCAAAAGTAGAGTAACCCCAACAAAAAAACCTGGCACATGGAACCAAGGACTAATACCCAAGCAGTCCATACTGTGTCCTGGTGGTTCAATTTTCGACCCATACCCACTTTGGACCATTTTGATCTCCACCCTGAGGTGGTGACGATTTTTTCTTCACCCAAACCCTGACTTGGCTGTGGTTGTCAAAACCGTTTTGGTAGGTGAACTCATCATCCATTTTAGGACCTATTTTAGTGGTTGGATTGGGTCCCGTTCACTGGGGGCTAACCGATTTGGATTTTGAAAAGCCCATGTTAAACCACCAGGGGACCGCAGGTTTTGGTCCATGTTTCCACTTACTAGGGTTCCATTTGGGGTACCTATTTTTGACCCACAGCCACTTCAGGGGATCTCCGATCGGATCCAAGGCGCGAATCATTCGCGCCTCGGCGTCCTTCTCCCCAGAGTCCCCGACCAACACAAACTTTCGGTCTGGGAACTGGGAGAGGAGACTTGTCACCTGCCAGAGACCCAGGACCCAAACAGACCTAAAAGCACCCAAAAGGACCCAAACCTGTGGGCAGAGAAAGTCCTGCAGAAGAAGAGTTGGCAGAAGAAGATACCAATGAATGAGAATACATGCCTTCCTGGCGCATCTTCTCTTTGACAGGCAAAACCGCAACGACTCAGTACAGACGCCCCCGAATCGCTTCCAGAGCGATTCTAACATGAAAATCAGCTATTGAATGGCAGGAAATTGCGCATGATTAAGATTGATGCGCTGTCGCCGGGGAGCCTCTGTCGAAACAGCAAGCAACAAAGAAAGGCATTCATCTCCGTCTTTGCTTGCGACTCCTCCTCAACTCCAAACAATCCTTTCAGGCGCAAGGCACTGGAGTCGGGGTACTTGGCATTCTGTCGCTTTTGCAGCAGGCTAGTGTTTTCGTTGCCATGCGTCGATGTCGATTCAGAAGCAACGGCAGCAGAAACCTATAGCCGCAAGCTACAAGTATTCAGGTCCCCGCCTGATTGGTGCTTTGGATTGGTGGTTTGGGGAAGTGAACCCATGCGAAAATCGCAGAGGGCCAATGGGAAACCACCCCCCAAAGCTCCAAACCACCAAGCCAGGCCGCCAATTAAGGGGAAGCTGAAGTACGGGATTGGCCTTCATCCTGAGGACAACAACACACACACACACACACCTCACAGTGTGCATGTTTGAATGGCGAAACAAGGCAAACTGGCAATCACATAGCACTCTTGGTTTGCACAACAATCTCAATCTCTTCCATTTGCTCAAGCTCCCTGGGGGCAAGAAAAACCCTCCAAAAAACAACACCTATTTCCGGTAGTGCGAGATTCCCTTTAAAATCAACAGGGGCAAATGAGCAAATGGGAAGATCTCAGCTCGCCTTCTAGGCCCAGCCCCCAGCTTTCCGCCCCCCCGGACATCGGGGCGCAAGCGGACACGCGCCTGCCGAAGCTTGAAATTTGCCCGGTCACGTCCGAGGAGTGGACAAAGGTGAATCGAGGACACGGGGAAGCCCTGGCCACTCGCGATTGGCACTCCAGGTAGCCCCCCTAGAAAACAACCCCAAAACAGTACCAAAAGACGGATCCAGTGAGCGGTTTCTCTGGAATCCGTCTTGGTAGCCGAAGACATCAAACCTTTGAGAGAACATCCCTGTACCAAGTGCACGCAGGGTTGATGGATCACCGAGGTACAGTACCAAGGCAGTTGTCATGCCTGATTGCAAGCCAAGGTGTTTCTTCCTAGCTTGCAAAGGGGCCCATGTGCCTGAGGATCGCGGTGCAAACAAATCAACGTGAAAGCTGGTTCAAAGGTCTGGAAGTGTGAAGGCATGTGAGTGTATGTAAACTCATATGAACACTCTGCACACTTTGCTGCAAATTGACCGCACAGCGAACAAAGGCGCTGAATCGTTGGTAAGAATGAATCATTTGCCACTGGAAACCTGCAGCTGAGTAAAACTGCAGCCCGACAAGCCAGGATTGTTTGAAGTATTCCATCACCAGCGGGGTGCTTCAAGCTGAGCAGCGTGCCACTCAAATATGCAACACCATCAACACCGATGCTCGATACAAATTGTGAGACGTGACATGGTTTCTCGCGGCATGGGCGGTTTGGATTTTGCCTGGGTTGAGTTGAGGGTCCTTGCATGAATTGTGCCCGCAACAAAGCAATTATTCAGTTTGGCTTGTAGCGACATAAACCAGGATTAGGCCCAACAATTGCGCCGCCTTGCTGTTCAGAAATTCAGACAGTGGTCCGTGTAGCTCTGGCGGGCCTTCAGCTTTCGTTGGGTAGGCTCGAGCAAAGATCGAGGTACATTCATTTACAGGAAACTCTGTTATCTTCAAGATTCGCCCGTCCTTGAAAACAAAAGGATTTAGCAGCTTGTTGCGTCTTCCGTGTCCAATTAAATATCCCCAAAGCGTTCCACTGTCCCTGCCTGCCCTTTTCTCAGAGTGCTTCTCGAGCTAAACTGATTCATCAAGCATCCAGTTTGCTTCCGACAATCCCCCACCAATAACCGTGCAATGGGATTGTAATTGGGGTTGACTTTTGCAAGGAAGTAGCGCGAGTTGGGCATTCACCCGCACGAAAACACCGCCCACCAAATTTGTTATATTCACTACCACTTGGCAACCACGCTGCACAGGTAGGTCGGGACAGGTAGGCGGTCTGTTTGCGGCTGCAGCTTTGGCTGTCAAAACTATGCACAACTTTGCCCCTGCAAGCAACCAAGCTGGGTTGCCCACAAACGTAGTTTGGATTCCAGGTGCTGTGGGGAGCAGGTGGCGCTAGCTCTCAAAGCGACAGAGAACCTGCGCATACACAACTCATGGGTGAGATGGTCGCAACCTCCATCTACCATCGGAATGCCGGACCCGCCCCCCTTAGGGAAGCTTACGGTCAACTCAAACTCTGTTTGGCCAATGTCTAAGCTCTAACCACAACCACAAAGCAACCATTGAACACCAAGGGCTGGTCACAGATGGTCTATCTGATGGGTGGCAACTCATTCTTGTTTCTCTTCCTGTTCAACATACACAACCTTGCCCGAGCCAATACTACGGATACTGCAAGCTACGGTTTCTCCTCAATGTCCGCAAGCTGGCACCAAAAAGGCAAAAATCCCAGCAGGGGAGTGGAAGCCCATGAGGTCGCATGTATCGACCGAAGAGTCCAAGCTAAAGGCCCAACTTGATACTACCAACTCAGAGACGAGCATTCGGAAGGGCCCATTCGGGCCATGACCCATACGATAATAACTGATCCAAAGGCGAATTTGAAAGAGACAATACATGATTGGTGGTTGGGCCACATACTGGCGTCATTCTTCTACAATGATCGAAGTCCAAGTGGTGGGTTGAAGGGGAAACAGCCAAGCATCTTCTTACTTCGAGAACCTCCAGAAACAGCTCCAATCTTTAATGACCCATGAAGCCTGCAAAATGAAAGATTTCGGCTCTTCTCTCACCCCTGACCCATGTACAAGCCATAAACCCATAGGTCTCGGGGTCAACTCCCCCTTCTTTTCAACCAGAATGCACATGGAAGGTACCACCAGAGGCTCTAGCCCAACCCCCGCCGCCCAAAAAGCTCTGGAGAGCCCGCAGAGCTCGCAGTGCAGACGTCTTGGGCCCGGGGCTCTTTGAAACATAGTGAAAGCTGGCGCCCAGCTGCGCCCAGCCTGACGAATCGGAGCTCGGATGATTCTTTGGGGCGGATTCATTTCCGACCAACAAAAACATCGACGGGGGTCGCAGGTTTTTTTTGGGGGGCCCGCACTTAAATGGCAAATCACTCGGATGGTTTGCAATACAAATAATTGGGGTCGCGGATTTTCGGGGACCCCTCACAAATGGCAAATACATGGTGTCTGGTACCTTTGGGGACTCAGACATGGTCAGTTGTCGCTTGGTTTTCTGTTTTCCCCCGAGATCTTTAGTACCCTTACGGCACAGTTGAACCTGTCCCAGTGAGGTTGGTCCGCTGAAGGTCGCTCTCGGCCCTACCCTGGAAGACTTGCTTTGGTCTTTTTGTGCTGTTGGCGCGGCGGCCGTCTCTCCCAGAGTGAGTCCGGAGTGGCCTCCTACAGCGATCTGTTTGCGAGGAACAAGCGAACAGCCCCTTGATTTCGCTCACCTTTTGACTGATTCGCCAAGGGAGCGACCCCCGAAATGCGCAATGGATGCAAAAGGGTGCCTGCTGCAATCCACCACAGGGCCTCTCATTTGCCCGGGGCCTTTGGGTCAGACCTTTCCAAACTTTTCAGCGCGCCTCGGTACTGCTGAGCCATGCCAGGCCTAAGGGTTGCAAAACAGCCACCGGCATAGCTGGCGGAAGCAAATCTTGGGCACGTACCCTCCCACTAACCTGGCAACTGGCAGGGATTCCCTTCAGGCAATTCACCTTCGAGGCACCTCCCCCAAGGCGCCCTGTTTGTTGGAGGAAGGGTAAACAAGCCAAAATTAGTCCTCATGAAGCACTTGTCGTTTCCGCCCGCCCCCCCGTAAGAGGGAGTAGTATGTATTGTATGACCGGGCGGGTTTGTCAGTCATCCAAAGTCTGTCTTCTTCAATTTTGCAACTATGTCAATTGTTGACCAGAAATCTTCCTGCAGTCTTTCCTCAGCCTTGTGCTCCCGAATAGACCCGGGACCTCCCCCTTAGTTTTTGCGATGCTGAAAAAGTTGGAAAAAAGAAAATACGGTCCGGGAGCTTTCATATGTGTTTTAATCGCTTTATTCCGGCCAGAATTGGAAATTACAAAATGAAATACACAAAGAATAGCAAGTCTCTGGGAAGACTACGGGAAAAGCTCGGATGCTGATGATGATAAACATGATGATGAACATGATGATGATGATGATGATGACGACGATGACGATGATGATGCTGATAATGACGATGATGATGATGACGATGATGAAGATGAAGATGAAGATGAAGATGAAGATGAAGATGATGATGATGATGATGAAAATAATGATGATGATGATGATGATGATGATGATGATGATGATGATGATGGACATGATGGACATGATGATAAAACTGATGATGAACAAATGATGAACAATGATGATTAACATGATGATGAAAAATATCCTGTGTGACCCTTACATTTTTCAGGCTCCCCTGATGTAAAGATCTTTCCAAATAAATCAATTTATTTGCTGCAGCGCTTCTGTGTCCTCTGAAGAGTTCTTGCCTCCCAGAGAAGAGTCTGGCTTGTCTTGGGTTTTTTTTGGGTTACGTATCTAAAACAGAAACACGACACCAGCATTTTTGGTTGTCCCATGATGAGACGAGCCTAGAAGGGTCGACTTTCTAGTTTATTCGATTACTATCTTGGTTTCGTTTATAAACTTCTCTTACCATCATTGTCTCCTATTGAATATTGTCTTGTGTCTAATCCGTTCTCTCCCGCAAGTAATTGTTCATTGCCAAGTAAAACGAAACGAACAGACACACATCATGTCTAATTCTAGGATCATTTGCTGTCAGTATTGCAAGACGCGAAACGGGAAATGGAAAAGAAGCGCCATCAAATTCTGCATCTGGGATATTGCAAAATTAGCACTTTCTCGGTAGCTTGATCAAACTCTTGGATTTCATTATCCTTTCCTTGCTCTGTTGTTGTCTGACTCTCTCTCTCTCTCTCTCTCTTCATGTCTTAGACTATATACATATTATCCGACTATTGGTCATTACTAATATACTATATCCATCTCATTTCTCGTCCTACTTTATATATGTTCATCATTTACCTCTTTCTATTTTATTAGGTGTCCATCTTGCGTTCTTCTACTAATTTCTCTTATTTTATCATCTACTATTCCAGAACTGCAGCTGACCGAGGCGAAAAGAAGACTGAACAGGGCGAGGTCGCATTATGCGCATTATTCCCTGCCACCCCCCCCCTCAAACATAAACAACAAATCAAGACCCGGCTTATACCCATCTGGCTGATGGAAGGAGAGCAGGAACATGCTTCCCTGGCAATTGTAAGCATATATCCCACTTCTCCAATGTGGACAAAGCTTAACAACTTCGTCAAGTTTCTCATCTCTCCCACGACCTGTTCTGCCTGTGGCATGCAATATGGTTGTTAGCCCCAGCATTTGTCTCCAAAACGCTCAGAACGGGGGGGGGCAGTGGCGCCCTCGTTGCAAGGAAGAACTAATAATTCACCACGTTGACGTTCCTTGGCTGCAAGAAATCTGCAAGAAACTTCCTTAGAGTTCATGATGTTGCACACTTGTTGCACACCGTAAACCATGACTTGAAGTCTGCATCATGCTAGACATCTTGTGCCATGCACGCTAGAATATCCCGAATGAAGAGCCTTGTTGAAATGCCAGCAAGGTTGTGTGGCGACCTGGTACAACAATGGCAGTATGGAACAGTCGCAAGCAACTTGCCAACTTCTTTGATTCCGACCAATCACTTAGCTAGTGCATGCTAACTTGCTGACCTGAAACGAGGGCTCTACTGATTAAATCGTGCAGCGCCTCTTGATTGAAACGCGGAACAGCTGAATAACTCGCAGAGGCTTGAATGACTCTAGTTAAGCCAGTGAGCAGCTGAGCCTGTGGCACGTCATCAAAGGATTTGAGGAACGTATTCTGGAGCACCGCCTGAAACGAAACGTTTACATCTTGGCTGCTCATGCAAGGTTGTGTCGCAAGACAACAACTCTGTAACTATACACAACCTTTGTCCGTCATGCAGTCAATTGCACGCTTGCTTGAAAATCTTGCAGAGGAGTTGACATGGAACCGAACGCGATTACTCTGCTCTCTGCATATGTGTTGTCTGTATGTCAGTCACCTGCACTTCATGACCAGTTTGATTTCGATGTGCAGCTGTTTGCTCTCTGATGCCAACAAACGGAAATCAAGGCATCCCTGAATAAGGCCTACATGTCTTGCTACCCTTGATTCAAGAAAATAAACCAGATGTGGGCAACTCAAGGGTCTGTAGAAAACACGACATGTCAATGTATCTATCCCTGGGGCTTCCAATAAGAAGGCATTTAGCACCCAGCAGTGGCAAGTTGAGGCTCAATCAAGTTGAGGTCATTCAATTTCAAACTCGAGAACACTACATTCTATTCCAAGCCATCCCATGCGCGCTCGATAGAAGACCTCCTCTCAATTATTCATCGCCGCATCTGCGAATCTTTAACAAGCTCGCAGGACATCAACCTACACTGCCTTCATTTGGTTAAGAAAAAAACAAAAAAAACAAAAAACATATTTCCAGTCGTGATAAATTCCTTCAAAACCAACAAGGGGGAAACATATTCTTAAGCACATGGAAGTTGCACAAACGGGGACAGAACATCCATTTTGACCATCACCCTGCGCCACCAACATGCCGCAGCGGATGTCCGGCCTTGATGCCGTGAAAGACTTCTGTCACCTGCGCACGCTCGGATGAAACCAACAAGTGTGGATTTTGTGTTCTTTCTTTTGGAACTCCTGCCGTGGGCCTTGGGAACTGTCGCATCCATGAAGTGTCGACAATCATCTTTGTTCAACATGGCCGCTTCAAAAGTAATATGGCCAATATGGAGGCTAAGGGATTTACGAACCCAACCCGTTGCGTGCTCAGCAGAAAATACTGGAATCATGAACAAGGGTCAGGAATCCAGCGTGCCTCTGGGACAATCCGCATGACTCTGACACGGCATGCTCGAATGAATACATATTGGTGGGATGAAACATGAACATCACCCCGTGCTCCAAGCACAGGACTCGGTTCAAGTGTGCTTTGCTGCAGCTGATCAACTTGGGATTTGGTGATTTGGTACTAGAAACAGCAATGATTTTGTGTTGTCCGACCTGTCCAGCGGAGTTTGGATGATCAAAACAGAACAAGCAGAACGTACTGAGTGTCTTAGAGATCCATGATTCCACTATGCCATTTTTCTCATGAGACCAGCTTCGAGTTGTTCCGCCCTCTCCCCCAAGTAGTCCGGCTCAGGTCCAACTGCGATGGAAGTAGAAAGCTCCTCTGCCTTTTGTTTCCTGAATGCTAACCACTAATTTGCATGCACACAAAAACACACCACACAAAGGACCAACACAAGATGCGGCGAGCAGGGACCCTTTGGTAAATCACCATCGCAGTCCTCTTCTTCTCCTTTGGGCGCAACAACCAAATACAAGAAGCTCAATGTGCATTTGGCTAGTCAAAATGGGTATCCACTTTGGAACCCTAGCAAATGGAACCAAGGACTAAAACCTGCGTTCCAATTCCTGGTGCTTTAATTTTGACCCATACCCATTTCTGGAGTACTCTCATCACACTGCGCTGCTCGCGCGCTTTCACGGTGTCATCAATGTCAGAGATGACTCCGAAGCCTTGTGGACCTGCAGTGATCACTTTGAACCTCTTGGGGGTAGAAGGAAACTTAGCTGGCTGAAGACCACCTGTTTGACAAAGCAAATGTGTTGACTTGCTACCACGTAGCTGCCCTTTAAAACATCGTTTCTTGTGTCTCCCACAGCGGAGGGTCTGCCAACTTTCTGCAAAAAGAGCGGAATCTCGCACCAACCTGCACAACACTACGCCTGCATACACATACTCCAATTCCGGAACCCGGAAAAAGCATCCAGCCGAATGCCCGGACTTGTGTTTTCGGCCATTGATGGCTGCGTGTCAATGGGACCTGGTTTCGGCTGAGGATTAACCCAAGAATATTAAAGGCTGGCATTGTTCAGGTTTCAACATTTGACACTGTCCCACATCGATCAAGCCCTATGACATCTTGGATGGCTAAAAAGGCAGAAACACAACACCATCCGGCCAGTCACTGGAATGCAACTCACAAGATATTCTAACAGTCTGCAGCCGACATAGAAAGTATTGCCTCTTCAATGTCAAATTGAAGCACGCCCCCCCCCAATGGAAAACCTTCTCGCCCCTCGAATTGCCTCCCAAAATGATTTCCCACAAAGTGGGGACGGGCGCCCGGCGAACCATTGTAGCAACCTAGGCCACTTGGGGAGCTGAAGTGATTGCTGGTCCGTGCTAGGCAGCCTACCTGAGCCTCTGCCAGCCAATGTGGGTCTATCAATTTATTTGAAAGACTCCCCAAAATGGTTGGTTTGCTTTTGGTGTCCTTTTAAAAACACTCCAAAGAGGGTATCCTGAAAAAAGGAAGGACACCGCCATGTGGTTCTACGAGCTTTCGTGCAAGTCCATTGTTCCCGGCATCAAGACTCGTTGAGACCTTTTTGTATTCTTCTTCTTTTTTGCAGCCAGTAGCCAAATCAGGAATCGTCATGTGTGACACCCTTCACACCAAGGCCTACCATTTTTTTTCTTCGCAAAAACATGATCTGTGGGAAATCCTCCGCTCCGAATCGCTCCAAAATGGGTCGAGCCCCAATCGGCGAACGCATTCTTTGAACAGCGGAAGCCGCAGCCCGACGCGGACCATCCCTCTGGCTGATCGGTAATTACCGGTGAATGATGTCACCCCCTTATTTTTGTCAGTCCAATTATTGGGTGGTGGCTGCCATCGAGGGCAGTCATTTCTGGGCGCAGCCCGTGAGGCCCCCGCTGCCTTGCTCGGAGGTGCGACGATCCTGGCTGGGCAGAACCCATGGTAGGCACAACGATGAACATGTCCCGCTTAATGTTAACCCCGGATTAAAAAGCCTGGTTGATGAATAGGGGGGTGCCCCCTTATAGTGGGGGTTCATCACTTTTGGAGGGAACACCCCCCTAATACTTCATGGGACGGGTTTATTACTCCTGGGTCTACAAAAAGCGGGAATAAAGCAAGTCAAGTTGTGCAGGCCTTGAAAGAGCTGCTTTTAGAAGGAGGACTCATTCAACATGGCCAATTGGATGCGTTAGCGCTCCTGGTTTGAGATGGATCTCGTGGTACAGCAATTCCGACATGGATCATAGATCTTTCGCAAAGTGCACAGCTAGAAACTCGCGTAACCTGGACCTGATCATTCAGTGCCGCTGGCCTCCCTCCCGATCTGAAAAAAACAACCGATGGCAACGAGCCAGCACTCACCTGTTTGAAATCAACCTCAGTTGGTCTCAACATGTCCAAGAGCCTGAATGGTTCAAACCATACACATGTTCGGTGCGACCTCGTCTTGCAAAGTTGCCCTGTCATGTTGCACAAGCCAAGCACATGTCTCTGCAAAGGAACACTCCTGCCGAGATTTCTACCACCAGGCGTTGGTGGGCCATAGTCTTTTGCGTGTCGCTCGGCGCGGAAGGGAAACCACCGTGAAATGAAATCACCCACTTTGGGGTTTTGACGGGAACAGCCCAAACCTTCGCCTCACGCTATCCCCACACCGTGAAGCTGGCCTCGGAACGTCCTGAGGCTGAGCCTTGGCGTGGCCCCGATGTCTACCGAGACTCAAACAACCACAAGCTCCTCGCTAAAGGGAGCCCAGAGCACAACAAGACCCCAACCAGGACCGAGACCTCAGCACAAACCTCTCCCGGATTAAATTTCGATAAAGACTAATTGACCCTCTCAAGTCAGGCAAATGACCAACAACCGGAGGCCAGGGAGGCCAGACGCCGAATGGCACATCGGTACAGTTTGACCAGTCTCAGAACGGCCTAAAAGCTGTTGAGCAAGCACCTCAAAATCCTGAGGCAAAACCCTCTTTCAGTTTCTTTTTGAAACACAGCTTTCCCTGATTCAGCAGGTCAACTCCAGGATACGACCAACGCACGCTGAGCACGTCAAAATGTTGGCCATGCTGTGCCGAGGGGGGGGCCTCTCCTGCGGGGCAACAAGGAAACTTCGTGTTTAAAAGGGATTCTGTGGCGTGGACATTTTGCCAGTGCCCGAAGCGCCATCTTCAGCTGAGGAGCGGCGACATCTGCATCCGCCAGGCGCACCTGAAGCATCAAATTGGCCCGCGGATCTGAGTCGGGTGCAGGCAGGGTTCCACTTGTTCACTGCCCCGAACACAGACTTAAACCCCGGCGTGGTTGATTTCCCCAAAGGGAAACCCCTGGATTAAGTCTATCTTGGGGTAAAAAAGTGGAACCCGGGGTGCAGGTGTCTCCGCTTTTCAGCAAGCGTTATGCACGCCGGAAGCTGTGGATCAAAGCAACCACTTCAAGGGTTCTCACAATCCCAAAGAACAAGACGTGAGCCAAAAATGGCATCAAACTCATTCTCCCAAGTTGTGTTCATTGCAGTTCCAAATGATCTTCAGCCTATCACCCAGAACTTGGTTGCTGTTGACCCCTCTACAAAACGTGATTCACTGTTTGTGGGTTTAGTGGAAAACCCCAACTGAATTCAACCAAAAAGTTAAAGTCTAAAGATCCAATTTTTTGAGCAGTCAAGTAAATCCCAAACCAACAAACCTGTTTTCATGCCAACCTGCCGGCGGTTTCGGGCCTCCACCTGAGCTTGTTCCATAAAGCGGTCCGCTAGCCTCCGGAGATGCGCGAAAGATGCCGGCCACGCTGCGAGTAAAGAGGACGCGGCACAGGAAAGTGTCGGTTTAGCAAAGATCAAAGGGTTGGGTTACAGGACAATCTACAGGAAATGGCCCCAAAACAGAATAAACAAGCCGCAGAATTTCCTGTAACCCCACCCTTTCAAAAGAGTCGGACGAAGCAACCTCAAGCAAGATCATGAAAAATCCCGCGAGCAAACTAGAGAGAGAGAGAGAGGGAGAGGGAGAGGGAGAGAGAGAGTCATTAAGGACCCCTTTGCTTAGAATCACACGATTTGCTTGTCTTTGCGCTTGCGAGTGTATTGACTTGCAGGGCTGCGGCGGGATATCATCGTCGGTGAACTTCACATTGGCCTCCCAATGCAAGGAGTCAGCACACCGCAGTCAAGTGTACTGGTGTGCTTGCAGCCAACATGGTACGCCGGGGCAGGGGGTGAATATGCGTCATGGCCCCACATTACACGACACTATGCGGATCAATGAGTGAATGCAATCCAGCTGATGGCTACTACCACCGAACGTATATGGGTTGTATTGGTTGTACTGTGGGCCGTCTCACACAAGTAATGGAGACAGATGTCAGAAGGGCATGATATCGTGCATGTTGGCGGCTGGCAAAGAAATGACAAAGAGCCTGGAGCCCCCTCTCACCAAATTCCCAAGGCTTGCAGTCAAACATATGTCTAATACTGGGGTCTGTTGGCTGTGTTCCCTTCCGTCGATAATGCAGCGGGTATCTGACCTGTCGGCGTTGCAAAATGAAGTCCCGACCCACAGGATCCTTTGCGAAGAAGCTTCTGCACGGCCATGTGCTTGGGCATATCAAGTAGGCCAACCTTGAAAACTGACTCAACACCGCATAATAATGGTCCTCACACTTGCAATATCCAGAGAAGTACTCTTTCACCATGGATGTGCACAGGTCCCTGCTCCAAGAGGAAAGCAAGGGTCTGCGCACTTCCATGTTTTTTGATGGAAGGGCTAGCAACTTTGCTGGGGTACGACGGCTTGTAGTGTGATCCGCCAAATCACCAGGTAGCGCAGGCCAAGCACGACGCCGCCTGGATCAATCCTTGCCCGTCTGTTGGCGGCAATAGATGCCAACCTGGAAAGGCATACAGGCACCATGGACCAAGGGTTTCGCTGGTTTTACCCACAAGACACAGTTCTTCTAGGTCCTCCAGTAGAGAGGTTAGAATAAGCGTACCCTTTTTCTGTAGTCAATTTTTAGTAGGGGAACCCTCCCCCAAAAAGGGTGAAAGGGGGGGAACTAGTCTTGCTCTTCTGGAGAGAGGGAGCACACTAAACTTCACCGGGTCAACCCAGCAAGCAAGTTTGGATTCACAGCCTAACCATAAAATTGCAGTGTTTTTTCTGGCCAGACCCAATCTTACTGAATCCGTCAAATGCGGGGTGCGCTGAAGTTTGCAGGGTCCTTGGGCAAGCATAAGCAGGATATATTATATAAGGATACAAAACCGGCACCAAGCATTGATGTCAATCCGCCTGATTCTGTTGGGGCCAATGTTGCTCTGTATTCTAGGTCCTCCAGCAGAGACAATACAATAAGGGTAAAAAAAAAATCTGTAGTCTATTTTAGTAGGGCAACCCTCCCCAAAAAAAAGGTAAAAGGGCACTACTGGGGGACCTAGAATTGTAAGCAACATAGCCAAGGCAGAGGCTTTGCGTTTTGTCTGTCTTGGCTTGTTTGCCGGTGTTTGGCAAACCGCAAACATGTCTCGACGACTGCATTGGCCGACTGCTAGAGAGAAAGGGTTGATGATCCTCACACATGCACCGTGAACGGCCTAAGTTGGGATTGCATCCGAAGCAAAGCACTTTTGCGCCTTCATCATCATCACGAGGACCCCCGACTCCTCAAGTCTTGCTCAAACGACACAACGCAAATGCATTCAACGCGCTTGCAAGCTTGCAAATCACACAAACTTGCCTGCATTAGCGCTATCTGTGGCAATCAAATATATAACTGGCAATCAAACAACTCGCGAATTGGAACGTACTTGGGAAATATGACTGCGCCATGACAAGCTATAGACAACTGCACAACTGGATCTCCTGAAATCCAAGACGGAGTCAGTGCATCTTTCCATGTCAAGTATGCCACACTTGACCAGAAGAGAAAGAAGCCATGAATCCTCACCCACCTCCACTAAAGAGGTTGGAATAAGGGTGCCCTTTTTCTGTAGTCAATTTTACTAGGGTAAAAGGGCACTACTGGGGGGACCTATTCAAAAAAGATGTTCCACAAGGCCAGCCCTGCCAAGGTGTTTTAAGACATTGCCATTGGACAAAAATCACCCGCTGAGACACCCAGCTGACTTCCAAGCGCTGAAGTGCGCGATCGCTGGAGGGCAATCTGGCACACGCGCAATGCATTGGACGGCTGGACCCATTAAACTGCTCCTAGGTCCAGTAGAGAGGTTAGAATAAGCGTACCATTTCTTTTTTCTGTTGTCTATTTTAGTAGGGGCTTGCCCTCCCCGGAAAAAGAAACGGTAAAAGGGCACTACTGGGGGACCTAGATTCCATTGTGCAAACCAAGCAGCAATCTTGGCAAGCCGTCTGTCTACACGGAAGGTGTTTGTACACCCAGTTGGAATCGAAGTAAAAGACCACATTCACAACGTCACCCCCCGCCCTCCCTTCTCTACAACATCAGCTTTAGAATTCACAAGAGCTTCCCTTCACAACCCGAAGCCAATCAGGTCAGACCTGGTTGGATTGAAACACATTGACACCATAGCTTCGGCAATACTGTGGATGGACGAAATCCATTTCGCACCACCCAAGAAACCCCGGAATGATGATTGCCCTGTAAATACCCGCAAACAGTGGTTTACCATTGTGTCAAAGTGGTGCAGGATTTCGTCCATCCACAATATCTCCATGTTTCCGCGTACAGGAAACTCTGCGTCTGTTATCTTTCATGCTACACAATCAATTTGATCTCTTGAACTCCCATGGCCGGGCAGGCTGAAGGCTGCGAAAGATCAGTCGAGCGCGCTCCTGCGCTGGAGTGTGCTCACCGGTGCTCAAATATCCCGCCAGGCATACAACTGAGGGGGAGCCAAGCAAGAAGCTTTAAATGGGGGATACAGTATATTGCACCATATGATACTGGATGTCATGAACTCAGAAAGATGAGACTGAGACCATACTTCTCAGAACATTTAGCCACTCTGACTCCAAACAATTCTTTTTTTAGTTGCTTTTAAGGGGGAAACCGGTGAAACCAAGGAACACCAACACTTTAACCTTTATGATGACATACAAGTAGGCCCTTAGTTTCTAATTCTGCAACTAGTGCACATGATTCACATCCGGCAAAAAACAGACCTTACTTCTGAATCCTCTACCCTCTGACAACATGATCAACATGAGGCTCCTTCTCGTATTTGTTCAATAGCATCGTTCAACGTCTGTCTATCAGCATCCTTGTGTCTTGCATGTCTTGGCAAAATACAAAAGCCTCGAACAACTTGCAAATTCCGGTTTGTTTCTAAGACGTGAAGCAATCAAAGGCGCGTTGTCCAATTTGACTAAGGGAAGACTTAAACCCAGGGGGTGGTTCAATCCCCCCAAAAGGAGAACTTGTGGGCTTGAGTCTATCTTGGGTGTACTAAAGAAGTTGGACCCCGGCGTTGTCTCGGCAAATTCCGACTTTTTCCCGGAAGCATTGCGAAGGGTTCTTCTTCTAAAAGCGGCTGCCAACTTCACCTGCCAACTTCTCATGCCAACTTGTCGAGAGTTACTTCACCTGCCAACTTCTCATGCCAACTTGTCGAGAGTTACTTCACCTGCCAACTTCTCATGCCAACTTGTCGAGAGTTACTTCACCTGCCAACTTCTCATGCCAACTTGTCGAGAGTTACTTCACCTGCCAACTTCTCATGCCAACTTGTCGAGAGTTACTTCACCTGCCAACTTCTCATGCCAACTTGTCGAGAGTTACTTCACCTGCCAACTTCTCATGCCAACTTGTCGAGAGTTACTTCACCTGCCAACTTCTCATGCCAACTTGTCGAGAGTTACTTCACCTGCCTACTTCTCATGTCAACTTTTTGAGAGTTACTTCACCTGCCAACTTCTCATGTCAACTTTTCGGCTGTTATCTCATTCTACTAAAAGCACAAGCTAATTTGTCGGGTGTTACTTCACTATCCTAAAAACACAAGCTAACTTTTCTGTTCTACCTTCACATCTCGACTCTTAATTCTTCTTCTTTTTATGGCGGGGGTAGGCCCGACGGGAGCTTACGAAACGCACCCCTCTGCGGAGATCGTGCGTGTCGAAGCGCTCTCGCTGTGGCGCCGTGCGAATTTGTCTTGAGAACCCTCTGCGACGAACCCTCTGCGGAGATCGTGCGTGTCGAAGCGCTCTCGCTGTGGCGCCGTGCGAATTTGTCTTGAGCGCGGCGAACCCTCTGCGGAGATCGTGCGTGTCGAAGCGCTCTCGCTGTGGCGCCGTGCGAATTTGTCTTGACCTTGGCGAACCCTCTGCGGAGATCGTGCGTGTCGAAGCGCTCTCGCTGTGGCGCCGTGCGAATTTGTCTTGACCTTGGCGAACCCTCTGCGGAGATCGTGCGTGTCGAAGCGCTCTCGCTGTGGCGCCGTGCGAATTTGTCTTGACCTTGGCGAACCCTCTGCGGAGATCGTGCGTGTCGAAGCGCTCTCGCTGTCGAACCCTCTGCGGAGATCGTGCGTGTCGAAGCGCTCTCGCTGTGGCGCCGTGCGAATTTGTCTTGACCTTGGCGAACCCTCTGCGGAGATCGAATGTGCGAAGCGCTGCGTGTCGAAGCGCTGTGGCGCCGTGCGAATTTGTCTTGACCTTGGCGAACCCTCTGCGGAGATCTGCGTGTCGAAGCGCTCTCGCTGTGGCGCCGTGCGAATTTGTCTTGAGCCCGGCGAACCCTCTGCGGAGATCGTGCGTGTCGAAGCGCTCTCGCTGTGGCGCCGTGCGATTTTCTTGCTCGCGAAACGGCTTTTGGAAGTTGTCTCGTGGTGTGCGCGCCTGCTTTCGCAATCCCGCGGTCCCGGGTTCGATTCCCCCCTGGTCCGCGGCAGCTCCCGCAGCGTAGTAGTACGCGGACAGCTCGCATCGCAACTTTTAAGTACAAACGTAGTACGCGGAGCGTAAGCTCCGCAGCTCCGCAACTTTTAAGTACAAACTGAGCACAAGCTCCGGCGCAACTATACACAGCACAGAGCAACTTGCAGAGCAACTTGCGCAGAGCAACTTGCACAGAGCACTTGCACAAAGCACTTGCGGACCTATCTCGGCGCGGAGAGCGTCTCCCCAGCTCCGCCGGAAAAAGAAGAAAGAACTCAGAATCGAGAAGACCGTGCGATTTTCTTGCTCGCGAAACGGCCTTTGGAAGTTGTCTCGTGGTTTGCGCGCCTGCTTTCGCAATCCCGCGGTCTCGGGTTCGATTCCCCCCTGGTCCGCGGCAGCTCCGGCTTGAAAATCGCAGCTTTTAAGTACAAACGTAGTACGCGGAGCGTGCTCCTGCAGCTCCGGCTGGCAAATCGCAACTTTAAGTACAGACGTAGTACGCGGAGCGTGCTCCTGCAGCTCCGGCTGGCAAATCGCAACTTTTAAGTACAGACGTAGTATGCGGAGCGTGCTCCCGCAGCTCCGGCTGGAAAATCGCAACTTTTAAGCACAAACATAGTACGCGGAGCACATTCCCGCAGCTCCGGCTGGAAAATCGCAACTTTTAAGTACAAACGTAGTACGCGGAGCACACTCCCGCAGCTCCGGCTGGAAAATCACAACTTTTAAGTATAAAAAAATAGTACGCGAAGTACATTCCCACAGCTCCGGCAGCACTTGCTCAGAGCAACTTGCGTAGAGCAACTTGCGCAGAGCAACTTGCACAGAGCACTTGCACAAAGCACTTGTGGACCTATCTCGGCGCGGAGAGCGTCTCCCCAGCTCCGCCGGAAAAAGAAGAAAGAACTCAGAATCGAGAAGACCGTGCGATTTTCTTGCTCGCGAAACGGCCTTTGGAAGTTGTCTCGTGGTTTGCGCGCCTGCTTTCGCAATCCCGCGGTCCCGGGTTCGATTCCCCCCTGGTCCGCGGCAGCTCCGGCTTGAAAATCGCAGCTTTTAAGTACAAACGTAGTACGCGGAGCGTGCTCCTGCAGCTCCGGCTGGAAAATCGAAACTTTTAAGTACAAACGTAGTACGCGGAGCGTGCTCCTGCAGCTCCGGCTGGCAAATCGCAACTTTTAAGTACAGACGTAGTACGCGGAGCGTGCTCCTGCATCTCCGGCTGGCAAATCGCAACTTTTAAGTACAGACGTAGTATGCGGAGCGTGCTCCCGCAGCTCCGGCTGGAAAATCGCAACTTTTAAGTACAAACATAGAACGCGGAGCACATTCCCGCAGCTCCGGCTGGAAAATCGCAACTTTTAAGTACAAACGTAGTACGCGGAGCACACTCCCGCAGCTCCGGCTGGAAAATCACAACTTTTAAGTACCAAAAAATAGTACGCGAAGTACATTCCCACAGCTCCGGCAGCACTTGCTCAGAGCAACTTGCGCAGAGCAACTTGCGCAGAGCCACTTGCACAGAGCACTTGCACAAAGCACTTGCGGACCTATCTCGGCGCGGAGAGCGTCTCCCCAGCTCCGCCGGAAAAAGAAGAAAGAACTCAGAATCGAGAAGAGAAGGTAGAAAAGGAAAAGTCGGCTTGCAATGTAACGCCTGAAAACGAATACTTGCGCTTTACGATGCCGAAGAAACGCCCGAGAAGTTAGCTTGCGCTTTAGGATAGTGACGTAACACCCGAAAATTTGGCTTGTGTTTTGGGACAGTGCATTTCGCTTGTGAAGTGAGATTGGGCAGTTGGCAGTTGTCATTGGCTTGTGAAGTGAGATTGGGCAGTTGGCTTTTGTAATTGGCTTGTAAAATAAACATGCGCAGTTCGATTTTGGAGTGATAGGCAGCTGACAAGAGCAATAGTAGCCGAAGCTTGGATGTCATGAGTGTCTCAGTAGCGGAGCTTGCCCAGAGAATGTTTGCGGCGACAGTTGATTAGGGCGACACGGCTTCCCGACCTGATTTATCGAGTTGTAGAAAAAAGATACATCGCATCATTTGCAGCCATGGCTCCTTTCGGTTCTTTGTTGTCAGAGCTGGGTTTTGAGAACGTGGATGCTTTCACGGTGCCTTTCGCAGACGTGAAGAAGAAGTACTTCCAGTGGCTTCGCCAGAACCATCCTGACAAGCAGGCCAACAGCTGCACGCCGCAGGTGGATCCGGAGCGAGTGAGAGCTGTCCTGGCAGCCTGGGACGACTTCCGTGATTTTCGTCAAGGAGACCAGTCGTCCGCTGCCTCTTCCCGCCGTGAAGAGCCGCGTGCTGCTGGCGAAGAGGATCCATGGGGATACCGGCAAACTGGTCGCTTTCCATCGGCAAAGCCTGCTTCCAAGTCGGCATCCTCTACTTCTGCGCCCAAGGCTGCGCCGCATCCTCCGGTGGATGTGGGACCTTGCTTTCACGCTCCACACTGCAAGAAGTTCTTCAAGAAGCACGGCCAAAAGACGGCCAAGAAGATGAGGGAGTACTTGTTCTTGTACGCAGCGGAGGATCGCTGCCTGACATGCTTGCGCTTCTTTGCTGACTCGCCGGACTTCGATGTTGGCTGCACCTCTTGCGGCAAGGGCGCAGAAGAATGGGCGCTAGATGGAGCTAATGGCTTCCCGCTTGACGATGACTTGGTGGACTTCTTTGGAAAGCTGAAGCTGTGATGGACGGCGGGCGGTCTGTGCGGCGCAGGCGGATCTTTCCGAAACGTCGCCGACTGGCTCTGCATTCCACAGCTCCTGGACCTTCCGGTCTGTGCGGCGCAGGCGGATTTTTTTCCCAGGCGTCCTTGAAGTTGCTGGCGCTGCCAGGGCTTTCTGCCGCACACGATTGCTGCCGACAAAAAATGTGCATTATGAGTGTCTCAGTAGCGGAGCTTGCCCAGAGAATGTTTGCGGCGACAGTTGATCAGGGCGACACGGCTTCTGTGTGTTGGTGCTATGCTTCATTTTTTGGAGGGGTGCTCCATGAGGTTGCTGTCGCTTGTCACTGCTGCTTG